CTATCAAGATATGAAATCAATAACGATATATATATATATATATCCAGTTTGATTAAATTTACATTTAAAAAAAATAGACAAAAATTTGTCGTGTATGTTGAAAGATATAAGTAGTACTTTTGTGCAAGTGAAATATTTTGTCCTTGCCGTTTCTTTCTCGTGCCATACATATATCTCGAGATATCGATCTGGCAGAATTAGACCACAGAATAAAATGACACGTTCACTTGTCGATATCGTTTCTGGCGCAATCATATGAAAAGATCCGTTTCTCCCGATAATATATAGAAATTTCTATGCAACGTCGCGAACCAATGCAATCGCACGGAAAAATAGCCGAGTCGCGAGTCTATTACTTTCAGGCATGTAAATGCACTAGTATTCTGCGTGTATTCCGTTTGAGTATATACGTTAAACCGTAGCAAGTAGACTGTATTATTGATGGTTTATTGCTCCAATCGACCGACGGACGGTGGTACCACGGGGCACCAAGTGCATCGGCATACATGCGCCGGCCGATCGACGAAAATATGCGGAATAATTTATTCGCCATGCGCAATTATTTCTGTATCCTTGAGCGGATACTATCGCGTTGCGTTATTATTTTATGAGGAACTAGATCCGACATTATACCAAAGTCAAAGAAAGTTTCCGTGTACTTCATGAAAGTCTTCTTCAGATTACATTTGCATATGAAATTTTGATGAAAAAAAAAAACTATTCGTGGCATATACAGAAACTGCACGAGGCAGAATATTATTCTAGCATTCTCATTGCATCTATTATATTTTGCTTATTATTGTTATTTTCTCTATTTTCAAGAATCTCCAACCTTGTTGTCCATAAAATCTTCTTTTTTTATATTTAAATAAATTGAATAAGGATTAGCAGCATTTAAATTTCTTAATTTTCCAATAATTTAATTTTCCATTAGTTTATAATAATAAATAAAAATGTATATAATGAAATAATAAATATTATAAACCTATTTAATTTAAAAATAGAATAAGTATAGATAATAGCATTTAAGAATTATCATGAAGATTTAGAGGATACATACACATAAGGATGCAAAGAGAGATTATAATGAGCAGGTATCTACACGCTTATTAAGTGTAAGCTGTATGCTAGCGTATAGTTAAACGATAACTGTACATTGTGCGTAGGAAACATTTATCTACTATTCATCGCATAATACAGTAGAAAGCATCTCGCAAAGGATTAAAGTAGCCGCCGCTTTCACGAAACAACTGTGGAAACGGTGGAAACGCTTAATGTTTAACGATCCTACATACATTCCTTTAAAAACTCTTGTCAAGCAAGTAGCTGTAATATATATGAAGCAAAATAAAATAACAGTTATTATTAAACTTACGGCCATTAATTTTGTGTCACTAAAAAATCACATTGTCCTGTTTATCTGAAGTATAAAAATGAGGCAAACATAAAATCAAAAGCTTTGTTTGATAACTTTATTTTACATAAACTCAATAATAACTATTTTTTCAAATTTCAGGCATTAGAGAAATCACTTCAAATAATTTGTCGAAGAACAATTGACTCCATTTTCCTATATTAATTACACAGGCACACAAAAAATAAAAATTGTCTTGGCCGAAACACTACACTAGTGTATTCCCGCATGTATTTTGACCCGCTGCATCCGAATCCGAAGTCAGAATTGTCAGATTGGCTCTCAGTTCCGAGCAAACCTAAAAAAAAAAGTGTTTGTTTCGTGGAGTTTTGAACTTTTTTTAGCAGCGGGTCAAAATACATGGGAATACACTAGTGTAGTGTCTCGGCCAAGACACTTTTTATTTTTTGTGTGCCTGTGTTATTTTCTACAATGACTGTTTGAATACTTAAAATCAATTGCCATTTGTCCCATTCTATTTCCATTGAATCCTATCATATTTCTTGTCATTTTACGGAATACCATGAATGATGGAGATCACGTCTTATCTTATGCGATATCTATAATATTTAAAAATAACGCGTCCTAATATTGATCCGCAGAGGGAAATAATGTCGCGCTGCCAAGAGCTAATACAGCGACGCGAGACTTTCGATTAAGCATTTCCAGAACGTATTTTCGATACGCCGGCTGCTTGCCTCCTCATCCGCGAGAATTGCTTAGATGCAAACTGACTGTTCGAGTTAGTCCGACTGCAACATCTAGCCTGAATACTTCATAAGAAGAGACTGGTCGATTTCCGTGCTTGCGGCAAGCGCGGTCACCTCGCTACGAAAATCGTTAGTCGGTGAGTATAAATAACGGTGGCGCGAATTCACACGTATGAGTATTTGTGCAGTGAATTCGGTGTGAAAGAGAAAACAGCAATTATCCTTTTATACAAATAATATACTTTCTTAACTCTTACACTTTAACATTGTTATTAAAGATAGAACATAATAAAATATATAATATTAAATACATAAATGTATATAATATTATATACATAGAAAGTGTGTGTGTATATGTACATGTGAATACTTTCTAGGAATGTTGAAAATTTTTAATTTTTAACTTAATAATACTGTGACTAGTTTAAGTTTAATTTTATTTCATCAAAATACTATTTCACAAAGAGTCGTTATTCGTTAGATTTTTCGACAATTATTATTAATGTTATAATTAAATTAAAGCATAAAATTTCAAAAAAAAATAAAACCTGCTTAAATTTAAATAAACAAGAATTTCTTTGCATCTTTAGCAATATTATTATCAATATTTAATAATAAAAATAATATTTAATATCTTTAATGGTAAAAACCTATTTTTCTCTCAATACTTATTTTAATAAAGAAAATAATTTTTAAATTATTAAACAGATATGCCGTTAAATATTGAAAAAGAGTTCTTCTTGGACACCCTATATGATAACATATATAGGTACTCTGATCATACCTCATTAGACCTAAACCTAACCATAGAAAATTACGTCATTACACATCGGCGACAAATGCGACAATGCGATGAATCAGCGATCATAATACGACTATTTGGCGACGATTGCAGATCGCAAATAATTTATTGTGAGCAATAGCTCGAATAGAACAATCGCTAAAGATTATTAGCTTCCCTTACTATTTTATACTTATTCTTTGAAATAGGACAGAAAAATGCCGGGAAATAACAATTATACACCTACAGAAATTAACAAGATATATAAATTAACCTGTCAACGAGCTATTAGTAATCCCAGGTGCATTTCTCTCGAAACGCGCGTAATAAAATAAGTCATATATCCATTAACACCGTGCGGACACTGTGTTTTTGGAGCACTCATCCGGACACCCTGGGACTAAGTCCAAAGAGTTTTCAAAAGCGTTTCTGTGTTAAAAAAAATCTATAAAAATTCATGTATTATCTTTAAGGTTTCAAAAAGTGATTTTTATACTTACATAGCCGAAACTGTTGCAATTTTTTTCCCATTCCTGTAGGAATCATAAATAAAAAATCGCGGACGGTGCCTTTTAAAAGGCCCACGGTGTCCGCGCAGTATTAATTATTACTAGAGCGTAAGTATTGTATGTGTATTCAAAATAAATTGCATACGTTATATTATTAAATCATATTATTATATTATTAAATTTCGATATACATAATGCAATAAATATATTATATGTATTGAAATTATGATTTCCGGTCTATAAGCTCACGTTAAAAAGAAACAATGATATTATTGTTGGGACAGTAAACATATCTATGTAGTATAAAAATTGCATTTATCATGCAATTTGAATTAATGATGAAAGACGTATGCAATCAATAGCATATATTTTTTTTTATTTACATATGCAGCGCGCATGATCCTCGAATAATACGATACTTGAATTGAATTGCAAAAAGTTGTGACTACTTTGACCCTAAAATAAATTTTTTTAAATAAATTGCAGCCAAATTTGTATAATATGAATTTGCATTTAAAAAATGTGTTAATTCGAAAAAATATTTAGTCCGATACGTTCAACTAAACATTTAGTCAGTTTAGTTAAACATTAGTTGAATTAATTAATTTTTGATTAAAAATTCTAATGTTTAGTTAACTAACTAACATGTTTAGTTCGAACGTATCGGATTAAATATTTGTTTGGATTAACAAATTTTTTTTTTTCAGTGTGGAACTTTGAATTGCACGGTTTTCAATAACATATGGAACGTAATATCCAAAACTGTATGAATCCAAAGTTTCGAGAGAGAGAGAGAGAAAGAGAGAGAGAGAAATAACACGGTTTTTAATAACACAAAACCAATTAATCGGATTACCTATTATTATATACATAAAAAATATATAATATAATTTTTTCGCCTCAAAATTGTTCAATTGTTCAAGATTGACACAAGTCATTTTATTACTTCTAATATCAATCCACAAGAATTCGAGAGAAATGGAAATAATACAATACAGAGATCAAACCCAAAAGCCTTCACACGCCTATACGCCTCCAAAAAAATTGTCATCGATGCGCAATTTGCGCAAAGAGCGCGGCGAAACGAGAAAATGGCGGCATTGATCGCCTAACTATCGATCGCCGATCAAGTATCAGATGAAAGAATTTACATAAACGACGCAAAATACCTGGCGACAATCGTTCGTCCGTTCTTTCTTTCAGCTCTCGCTGGCATTTCGATGCTGTGTCGGAAACTGGAGAGTGATGCGAGATTCGAGATGAAAACGACTGTGATCATTCCCGGGCGCACAAGAGGAGTACGCGTCGAGAGAGGTTGGTCGATATCCCGAGATTCCCGAGACCGACGCCGCGCCGCGACGTATAGCGATCTCGCACACGATGTCTGCTTCGTACGTCCGATGCGTACCGCACGACGAGCGTCCAGTGCACCTCACGAGAGATGTACGCTCACAGAGGAGACGATCGTTCGCGCTCCGAATTCACGACGCGACGACGAAAACACGACGAGCGATTTGAGTCGCGACTCCGCGTCCCTCGACCGGCCGTGAGTCGCGGCGCGTCCCAGAAGTGAGCGCAATTCGAAATCTATCGAAAGCTATTGACGCTGCCGCGATTCTCGATATATCGAAGCGGCAGGAGCGGCGCCTGCGCGAATGAATTCCCGCGATTTGTTGACCCCTCGCCGAGAATTGTCGTCTGCTGGTCTGCTAAGAATTGGCGGGCAACCGGGTCGGGCGTTGACGCTTCCGTCGTGTAAATAATTGTACATAACAGCGTGTCGCGCACAAAAATTGTTGAATAAGCGAAAATTGTTTCTCGAAGGCGTTTTACGCGCAAGCGATTCTGTGATGAAACGACATTTTTGTTGAATTGTTAATATCGTGCAAAAAGTACAAAAGTGACGTGTAAGGTTAGATTTTTTATTTATTATCGTAAAAAACCAGATTGATTAGATAAGAACTTTGAATATACATTTTTGTCAGTAAATTTCTCTTCGGTTTGTAATTCATTCTACGTGTAGAGAAAAAGGAATTTTATATCTGTGTGATTTAATACTAAGTAGCTTGTAATCAATTCTTAACTAGTCAATTGGTTGATTGAGTTAATTAACTCCATTTGACATTACTTTATCCCTATCTGAGTATCTACAAACATGTTTCCTTTCTAAATTATATTTTTAACTTTAACGTAAAGTCTCAAAAGAGAATTAAATATAATTCAATCGAATATAAATGTATCTGTCTTATTTCTTATTATTTTACTTTTTTCACAGAACTCAAAACATGGAGCATGAAGACAGTGATTCTGATTTAGACATCCTGAATAATCTCATATCAAATGACACCGAAGAGACTGAACAATCTAAGCAGCTTGGAGAACCTAAATCGCCTGAACATGCCAAGCTATCGGAACCGAGAAAGACTCTGACAGAATTGCAGTTCAACTTCTTAGATTCTACGCCTAGTAACGTAAATACCGAGAGTAAACCAACCGATGAAAAAGTCATCAGTGAGGTTTATGACGACAAGCTTGATTCTTCTGACGATGAAGACAGGCGTTATTTTGAGGAGCAAAAGTATACCAATTATGGACGGGAGATAAAACAATTGTTAAAAGAACAGTCTTCGTTGAAGACTGAGCAGCCTGTAAAATTACAGAGTGAGAGGACTGTTAATTTTAATAATAAGAAGAGCAAGACATTTGATTTCAATAATGCTATCAAAGGTAATAATAATAGTGCAGCAAAAGACGTTTACAGTGATCCCTTCTTTGGAATAAGAATAATTAGTCCCCTTATATCCTCTGCGGAATTGAGAGAACGTATGAAAGACAAGATAGCTGTAACAGTAGCGAGAGTAAGGAGCCACATTATTTCTGACAATGTACATAACGACTGGGTAATTGCCGGTGTATTAATCAACAAATCAGCCACGAAAACCTCGCAGAAGGGAACTTCCTACTGCATCTGGAAAATAAGCGATCTGTCCGACGACCTAAAGACTGTGTCTATTTTTTTATTCAGTAATGCCTACAAACAATTATGGAAAACCATTACTGGCAATGTGATAGGTATTCTCAATCCAAACGTGCTCGAGAGCAAGGACAACATCGATCAAGCGACGCTGTCGATCGACAATCCTCAGAAGCTAATGATTCTCGGCAAGTCCAAGGACATGGGCAAATGCAAGTCGATCAAGAAGAACGGGGATCCATGCACCGCAATCGTAAATACAAGTCGATGCGAGTACTGCATCTATCACGTTAAACAGGAATACAAGAAGTGTGCGCGACGAGCAGACATACTGTCGAGCAATACCAGCTACGGATTCACCGGAGACGCGATAAAACGCATGAATAGGCAGACCGTTACGCGAAAACCTTACAGCGGATTGGCGTCGTTCGTACCGGTACTGGCCAAGCGCAACGAAGAGCTGTACGAGAAAGACCGTGCGCGTTTGGAATTATTGTCTGAGACCACTTCGGATGACAGTATTAAAAAAGCAAGAAGTGATTCAAACTCTGAGACGAACAATGTGGATATTAAGAAGAAAGCGATAGCTGTCGAGCTGACAAATAAACAATCGAGAAAAGATTTCGAACGACTCAACAAACTAAGGAACTGGCAGCCCTCAAAGCAGTTAATGGTACAATCGACGCCTAATGGGCCAATTTTGTGTTCCAGTCCAGTGCAATTGAAGGAAAGCAATCCTACGCCAGTCAAACCTGGGAGCAATCACACAGATAAGATCGGTTTGACTTCTCTAGCTTCACGCCCGCGACTAGGAACGGGATGTAATCGGGATACAATAGATTTCTCTGAACCGATCACCAAGCAACAGATCCGCAGCGCCAAGATGAACGCAATCAAGTGGGTGCAAGAGCACGGAAAGATCAAAGCGAAGAACCCTAATCAGGTCCGCGCGAGCACGGAAGAGAAACTGGAGAAGAACGCGAAGCGTCAAAGGGAAAGTGACGAAAAGGAAGAGCGGAGCGCGAAAAAAGCGAACATAAACGACAAATTCAAAGAGATGCTAGAAGCCAAGTCCTCGCACACGGACCTGATCGAGAAGTCGTACGACGAAGAGAAGGAGAAGTACTTTAACAAGCTGGAGGCAAAGGAGAGAATGGAGGAGAAGATGATGAACACTTTCAAAGTCAATTGCAAAGCTGTAAAGTGTGCAATATGCAAGTACACGGCATTCTCAGCGTCGGACATGTGCAAGGAGCAAAGACATCCGTTGCGCGTGATCGACGCTGTTAAGAGATTCTTCAAGTGTGCTGATTGTGGCAACCGGACTGTCAGCCTGAACCGTATGCCGTCGCACACCTGTGGCAAGTGCAGCAGCTCGAATTGGGTCAGGGCGGCAATGATGGACGAGAGGAAGACTGCTATCGCCGCAGAGACCCTGTCCATACGCGGCGCCGAGGAGAAGTTCGTGGGTTCGGTGCTGAAAGATGCCAATCTCAACCTTCTCGTTCCGGATGAAGATTAATATGTCAATCTGATTGCTCACAATATATTTTGGAAATGAGTATTATAAATATTTATGGAAGATAGAAATGAAAAGATTTGATAAGAATACAAATTGGTTGTAACCAATAACATGTGTCTTGTATGCAGTATGAAATATTTTTGTATATAAAATAAACGTAGGTAATATGTGCTGAAATGTGCTATGATACTGTTATCCGTATATCAATTTAATAAGTATTATTTTTAATATGTGATAAAGTTAGAAATTCAAGGATTAGTAGAACTTGCCGTCTAAATTAATTTCTGAACTCTTAATCATCGACTAAAATAAAGAGACGTGAATTTTACTAACCGTGACTGATACTTACTCCTATATTTTACCTATATCTTAGAATCTACAAATGCAGAACATTTGATATCTTTTTGTTTATTGTCAGTATTATCAGTTTTCTTTTCTTCTTTTTTTTTTCATCTTATGAAATGTACAAATATAAGGAAATCCTAAGAGTGTACCTCTTGCACATTTCCGAAATGAAATACATCGAATTCCCTCCGTCCGAAATGTACACAGCGAGCAGAAACGTTTTGATACAGCCAGGTACAACAATCGTATAAAAAACACTATGTCGTCTCGACTACGTTCTTCGCTAAATTACGTTCGTTTGAGATTTACGTTTAGGCTGAGGTGAGTCATCACGGTCTTCCTGTTTGATAGAACCTTTTTGTACCTTTCTCTCTCGTAACGAGAAAGCACTCTTCCTTCCTTTCTTATAAGCGGGATATGAACTGTCTAAATAAAGGTGGACATCAATAAGTTTCTAAATATGAAGAACTGTGATTGGGGTCCGGAAGCATTGCGTTGACACAAATCACCATAAGTCGCGCACAAATGCCCGTTATTTATATAATATGCAAAATGTAATAATTAAGGAGCAATTGATATACAATTTTGGACGAGGTGTTATGCCAGTGTAACAGTTCCGGACTCTAATAACCATCTGTTTGTATGAGAAACATAGATTGTATTTTTTCACTCATGTACTGTTTAATATCCTATGGTTGTCCAGTTCTATTCGGCATTTTATATTACGATGACACATTACTCTCTTGTTCTTTTTATATAAAATTTCGAATAAAATATACGTGAGAAAAGGAAGATTGGAAATAATGGTTATTCGACTTCCAAGTGTTATTATATGTGAGAGACTAATTATTGTTATCCCAACAAACCTTATCTTTTGGGATGTAGTACGATAACACCAGATTATCGTAGCTCTCGCATACTTTGTATATACATACGTAATTGTTAACTTTTGGACCGAAAAATTATGAAATCAATGAAGTGAGCCGTGCAAAATATATAAATATATACGTATGATAGAGAATTGATAATTGCATTAATCAATAAAGTGTATACCGTGCTATAAAAAGATTACTGTTTTTTCGAAAGATTCATTTCTGCCATTTCATATTAATGCATGATACATGTATATACATATATGGAATGTTTTTTTAGATCATTATTTCAATCTCCCTCTTTGTCACCTGACAAAGCATAGATCTCACAGAAAATGAGCAGCAGTACCATCGAAAATTTCTTTTCCAATCCTTAGCTATGATCCATGTATACTTGTAATCCAGCAAAAACAGATTTCATTTTAGAACAGCACGTGTGATACACATATACGAAAATGTGAAGCATTACAATAAAATTGTACTCTGGAAAATCGACTGGGATAAAATTTTTTACAACGATTACGCTCTCGTATTACCTTTCTGTCGGATACAAAATTCTAATGAGATATTAAAGAAACAATTTGATTTCGATTAAAAGACACATTTCACTGGCAAAATATGTGTGGGAGTAAAATAATCAATGACGAACATGTTAGCAGATTATACAACTATGCTTATAGAGATCATAGGCAAGCTATAATCTAAGTACGTCATCGATCCGGTTATTAAAGCAACTCGCGTGGACGACATTTCCGTGCATCTTTACCTTAAAACAAAGATTACAAGGCTTTCCCTATTCTCTTCCTTTCTCTCACTCTTTCTCTCTTCCTCTCATTCTCTCTCCCTTTCTCTCTCTCTCTCTCTTTCACTTTCGCTCATTGATATTTATTGATTTCTTAATTTACCTATCTTGCGTACTTAAATCGGGTGTTCCGCTAAGCAGAAACGTAGTCGCACCGATGTATAGAAATAAATAACTATCTAGACTCCTATAGTGAGAAGATGTTTACATATAAAAATTTGAAGAAACGTTAAGCCGGCAATTAACATCTGGGTATCTTGAGAGACAATACACAGATACAAATACTTCGAACCATCACGTTCTGGAATTCGTTGTGCACATATCGCAAAATCGGATCTCTTTTCGAACGTTTCACTTTGATGAAGTTCTCTTGTGCGCCTGTTTTTGTCTCTACAAGGTGTACATTACAACAATATCGCAAATAATGTAGATACATTATTAAATAACGATACACCATTTTCGTCGAGTAAATCTCACAGCATTCAAGACTCTTTGAGAAACTCTCTTTGCTCTCTATACAGTATTCTTTCATAAAGGATACTTCACCAAAATTGCACGTTACATTCTTTTCACATTTATACATACATAGCGTCGTTTATTACAGAGGCATCATACGAATAAGCGAATTAAATTAACAATGTTAAAATAAATTTCGTAATATCTTCAGTAACCGTTTAAATATTGCGGGAAATATCTTTCTCTTCACTGAGGTGCACCACTATAACAATGAAAAATTACTTCGATACTTTTGCGAAGCGTTTCTTATGTACAATTGTGTGAATGTACAAAAATCTAAGAGCCAAGAGCCAGCAACGGAGCAATGTAGGATTGCGAGGAATTATCCTTACTTTTACAAATGTGTATCACTGCATAAGACGGAAATACTTCATTTACTCCGTGGATCGTGTACGCGACCTCAACTTATGTCTAAGGCAACTGTGCCGTTTTTTAAAAATTGACATCTATTTACAGAACTCTTCTCCGTATGAATTTTGCAAATATCGGTGTAGAATGCACGATACGCAATTGTATGTTCATAATAATCAGTTTATTACAGCTCTTTCATGATTGTGTCTGAACAAAATAACGCTACAGCCGCTCTTGTAGTTCAAATACTCATTTCTCGTAAAATCTATGATAAGATGACAAACATCGATTTAATATAAAATTACGATCAAACCACCATACACTGTACATTTGTAAACTGTACATTCGGAACTGAAGAGCGCGTAGTGTAATTGTTTAAGGTTTAAAGGAATCTCTGTGAATAATTAAGGATCATAAATTGTAATACAAGGTGGTGAATGTATGAGAGTAGGCAGGTATCAAGCTGGCTTAATTAAGTGTCACAGTCTTCGAATCGCCTTTTCTTTCATAGACATGAATTATATCAGCCGCGCCATATTCGCTAGTGCTCTTCTCTTTCGTGTATCGATTACGATCTGCTTGATGTTTGGTAAACTCTAGACAATAATTTTATGACGATATCGTACGTGCTGTATTGTAAATTTTGAAATATGTTTTCGTTATTCTGTTTTCTTCTCTCTTGGGACATCATATGAGAAAGAACATACTCCTGTCCCTCCTGCTTTCTCCGAAGCTAAGAGAACCAAATGTCGATTGAGTCATGGACTTAGTAGTCATCCAAGTCAAAGCCATCAGTTTCGATGTCGTCCAGCTGCATACTTTGAAAGTCCACTTTGTACCGCAAGATACCTGTAAGATATGCGTTTAAGGATACATACAAGAGAGAGCGATAACTATCATTTAAAATTTTCCTTCGCTAAAAAAAATTAAATTTTTTACATGAAAATTCATTATTAAATATTGATAATGAAAAAACAATTGTAATTATGGAGCAATATGTAATAACACAAGCAAATATATATATAAATAAATGATTAAAATTGCCCAACATTAACTGATGTTCACGGCACTGATGTGCTAAATTATACAAATTTAATTGAAATTGACATTTTATGACAGCGCTTTCCTAAGTAAGAGAAATGTATTTTTATATATTGTAGTTTGAAATATCCATATAGTAAAACATCAGAACATACATATAAAACTTCAATAAAGCATATTATACAAAGCTATTATACAAAGAAAGCACTGTCCAAAAGAAACATATAATTAGTGAATATTTTATCATTAATTTTGCAATTATGTCACTATATATAATATAAAGACAATTACAAATTAATATTATATGAATATTATATATTTTAGTGATTAGGATGATCTCATACACAGTAAGAGAAATACATAAGATCTGTGAATTTTTATTAATATATTTAAAATAAATTAATATTTATAGAGATATTAATAAGCGATAAAAGTACATAACTGTATAATAAAAATTATTATTATAAATGATAAAGTATTAATGAAATAAGACCATGTAAATGCATACACAAAAGATGTATCAATTGTAACATTTGATGTAAATTATGATTGAACATATCGGTTTTTAATCTTTGTTGTGTAATTAGTAGAGAACATGTACTGTACCTTTCCGAATGTGCAAGCTAATAAAAATAAGATACCGATTAGTACTGGAAGAGTATTAAATATTTTAACTATTTTAAGCAACTGCTATATATATATGTGAAAGCGTAAATACTCATAGATATCATAATTGCATGATAATTGTGTTCATTATCAGAGATAACACTTCTCATAACATTTTTCATAATCTTCAGATTGACATCTAATTTTCGATATAACATATCAATTATCGCTCTCTAATCATAAGATATATATTATCTATGATGATGAACTTAACGTTGCTTATTATTTAACATGCATTATTGGGATGTATTACATCATTATTTTTTATTTTTCATTATAAGCATGGACATAGCATATAATAGAAAAGAAATATATCGAAAGCTGTAGTAGATTCAAGATGTAACATGTAATAATGTATAATCTTGTTGATCATTTTCCTGCTTCCTGTATCGCGCAATACCAATTTTATAACAAATATTTCAATATTTATGTAAAAATGACAGTATCCAAAGACTTCTAAATAAAAAGTGGAGACAATTAATTTAGGGCCGGTTGTTCCAACCTGTTGGTAAGCTAACTAATAGTTAAATCATATGTCTATCTTTGTCTAATGTAAAGGATAAACAAAGACATATATATGATTTAACTATTGGTTAGTTTACCAACAGGTTGGAACAATCGGGCCTTAATAATCCTTTTGCGTGTTAAGCATATAATTATTTCCAGAAGAATTATTTTCGTGTATAAACTACATTATATTCTTTTATCGATAAAATAAATTAACGATCTTTATATGCAGAATAATATATTAAACTGAAGTATAAAGTTCGAATTATTAAATTCCTTCTTGAAATGATATAGATTAAAATATGCAATTATATTGAAAGGACATACATGCGCTTGCTATGATCTAATATCGTTAGTGATTATCAATGTATAATCTAGTCTATACAACGTCCATAGCGTAATAATATAATATAAAATAAATTCAGTAATATACATATAGATACTGTATGTACACAAAATTGATAAAAAATAAAATTTAAAGAATAATACCATCACGTTAAATACGCAGTACAAAATTCTACTTGCCAAGGAATAGGTTGGAAATATTATAAACATTATCATGCAAACCATATTTTATATGTATTGTAGTTGTAGAACAAAAAACAGATTCAATAAATTTAAAAACTCAAATATACGCACATTGTGTATTTCAATTTAGCAAAATTCTTATATAACTGATATAAGTGATTGGTAATACACTGAATCGAGAATTATTAAATAGCGTGTATGTGTGAAATGTCATGTTTAAAGTTTAAGTATAATTGGTGAGTGAGATAAATATCGACATCTTCAAGGTGGGACAACATAGACGTGAGTAGTTATATTCTTAGTAATAATGATGAAACTTGTCATTGTTGCCTAAAAGCTAACATTTCAAAGCGTTATCAATCAGTTTATTTATAACACATTCCTGTGAACACGGCCTTTATAGTTCGTAACGGATTTTCGTTGTGTACGATGGTACCGTACGAAGATCGAAGATGATATGTGTTAAACGAATAAGAATGTGGCTATATATTTGTGACAAAATATATTTAACTATCAAGCAGAACTATTTTTTTCCAATGAATCAACCACTGTGTATATTGTATCTACTATTCCAATTATGAGACCAACAATGTATGAATCTAACAATCCGACGATAACAAAAGATAGGAGACTGGAAGATTTCAACTCACCCTGTGTAAAACAGAGTTATCCATATCATATATATATATATGTGTATGTAAAAAATTTTCTTTACGCGTTTACCACCAAGAAAGAAAAGAAAGACAGCGAGAATTCTCAGACTTTTTTATTCGTAGAAAAAAGAAACATAATACTTTGAGAAATATAAACTAAAAATGTTTATCACCACATTCAAACTTATTTTAAGAGACACATATGCATATGTATACTACAGATTTGCACAGAAGAAACAAACTATTTAGTGAGAAACCCAATAAAAGAAATCGTGAAAATTTATTGGACAAATTTATCTTTATATTTAGATTAATGAAAAGCAAAATATTTTACAATAGCTGTAATTATCTTTTTCTAAGTATTACAAAACAAAATATATTAATTTCAGAAAATCTTAAACTTCTTTATGCAAATATAATGAACAGTTAAATTTTTTTATATAATATGTTAATAATAAAATGTATTCACATTTTCTTCAGAAAAAGATAAGAAAAAAGAAATACTGAACCCAGATTACATAAGGATAACATCTTAAAACGCTAATTATACATTTGAGATTTGTACTAATAGAGAGAGAATTTCTCTTTATCAATTTATTTTTATTTATGAATTAAATTAAATTAAATTATAGTTACATTATTAGAAATTTAACGCAAAACACAAAATCGTCAACAAATAAACAAACAATAAATTTGTCCAGCTTTGCAAATAATATGCTCTATGATACACGAGATGTAAGTGAACGCACGCAAGACAGAGAAAGAGCTACCTGGTCGATTCTGAGTAATTCACGGATGAAATTAGTAATCATCAAGGTCAACATCATCAAGAGGCTCATCGGCCTGCAGTGACTGGAAATCAACTTTGTAGCGGAGGATTCCTATACACCAAGATATACTCCATAGTTAATATCAGTTTGATGAAATTTACCTTCCATGCAAAATAATCTTTGTTGGTGTCTAACGACGTAATGTTAATCTACCGGCTTTTAGGGATTGTGTACACCCATAAAACGCAACTACGCCATAACTTGACAATAAACCAAGTTCCGCAACAAATTAAATGCGCAGATTGTATTGAAAAAAAAGCCTAGCATGTATATTATATATTATTCGAAATGCTCCAAATACAGATATCGAAATTTTTTAATACCTCTTCTTAATTTTAATTTTCTACCTTTTTTACTGTTCTATTTACATTATTTAACCATTTCTCATTTATTTATTACGTATCTTATTTTTCTGGGGCCTTATTTTGCGATATGTGAGCTTATATATTTTATGATAGACAAAGAGGTAGAATGTTTCGTAATTAAAAATAATGATAATAAGCATAAATATATAAGAGAAACTTACCTCCAATGCCACCAAAACCTCTGACAAACTGGGATCCTTCTTGAGACTTGTCCGTGATAATTTCCAAGGTAGCACCGAAACTTTTGTAATTGTTCGCAAGCCATTCGAGTAGTGGTTGACATTCTACGAGTTCCAATTCTACCCCGCTCTATAAAAAATACAGATAAGATATAGAAAAAAAATTAAATTTATTTTTATTTTGTGTTTTTAACGTTATTTTGATACTCACTTCCTTATCAGTAAAGTGAGTTTTATCCTTTTCTTGTTCTGGCGTTAAATGTAATACTTTTTCTTCCGCGTTCGTATGATTTTTCAGAACATATCGTTGAATATCTAAATTTTCCCAACAAATTAAAGTTTCGACGCTACCTAATTCCAAGGCTCTCAACGTGTCTTCTACACCAAAACAGTATTTGCCAGTTTCTTGAGAAATTTCATCAAAGTAACGACCTGAACAAAACAGAAATCAATATATTATTAAATTTATATACTATTACTAACGTTACATTGTAATTAACATATAAATATTTACCGATCAACTTTTTCTCTTGAATAAACTTTACGTTTTGCAAAGATTCAGCCGCCAACTCAATAGCTTGATTAAAACCATTTTCGCCACCATATGATACATCAACCAGCTTTATAACTTTAGCTTGCAATCTCTGAAAAAAAAATCAAATATTAAAGAAACTAATATATTAGAAAGCTAATAAAAAAGAACAATCTTTTATCTCGCTAATAGAAATGTACTCAAAAAAATTAAAAATAATAAGGATGCTGAATAGCTAGATATCGCTAGAACAATCGCTCAACAAACAAAAGATCCGGGTTCGATTCTCGGCTTTGCCATCCCACATATACACTAAAAATATTGTAAACCTATGATAGGAACAAAGTTCACGAAATATGAATTTAATGATTTAAAATAACTAGAAATAAACAAATTACTGTATCGTCTCTTGAAGAATAGAAACCTCCAAATAATAATTTGAAAAACAAACCCTCTAAACTAGAGGTTGAATAAGGAGGTTTACAATTCCTTTCAAAAATTGTAATAAAAATTATAATAAAACTAGTTTGACAGCTTTAGTTTAAGCCAAGGCATTACTCATGGACATTATTACAATTATAATAAAACAACTTAAAATAATGCAGTCATAAAAAAGAATCTTGCTTACTGGATCGAACATATCCGATTGACTAAGTTCGGTCTTGAAGTCTGCGCTACCCGCGAGGATCAATCCAGCGATGTTAGGTTTATCGTTCGTGATGTATAATTGAGTAGCGACTTCAGCTACTTTTCGAACGTAATTATGTCGCTTTTCCATACGTAATCGGGCAAAACGCAGTGCGGATTGACCGCCTCTGCCTAAAATCAACATTTTTTTTTTTACATATTTGATACAAATGTCTTGCATCAATTTTTAAACAAGTAATAATCGCAAATATATCGAGTTTTTCTGAATTTCCACATATGTTACGTACCATGTTTCTTGGGAAGATCCACAGTAAATTTATGTAACACTTCGCGCGTGTTGCCTTGTAGCGTTCCGAACAACGCACCATTACCATCCATTACAATAAAACCAAATTTGTTGTCATCCGCGAGCAACGCCGTGAGTGCTTCTGTGTGAAACTGCAAAACGCAATTAGGGCTCGTATAAAAACCATACTATACACATAAGTACCATATTTGCCAATGTAAAGCATACCTTATTATCACAAAGATATAAAGATGTATTGATAGGTTTGAAAGGCTCAAAATCGATGTTGACCTTCTTTTCTTTTCCTTCCTCTGTTACAATAGTTCCACAATAAATTACCAGGCCATTTGGAGGCACTGAAATGCATTATTACGCATAAATAAATCATGATTAATGTTCATATAAATCATGGTATCTCAATGACTCCAATTTTATGTTTAAAACAATCAAACACGTTATAGCTGTATGTAATAAATTCCCATATTCTCTTATACTGTGTCAAAAAGAACTTGACGTAAATAAAAGAAACATTTACCTTTAGTATATAGCTTTAGCCTATGCTGCACCGATGTGATTGCACCCAAAACAGATAATCTATTTACACGTGACTTAATATTCGACGCTGTGCCGAATTCATCCGCCAGCATCTTGCTCACTCTCGATATTTGGTCCTTTGGAGGTATGATTAACGAAATCATACTCGTGCCATTCCTGCAAAGACAAATAAATCAACATCTTCCGCCTACCACTGATACGCAGAGACAATCGAGAGGCAAATTACAAAGAAATCCACTTGCGTAAAGCAAGACCTACATACATTCTCCCCCGATATAAATCTCTAACAAAACTACATAGTATTTTAACGTCTATCAGGCGCGACAAAAGCGATCCTTGCATGAAGTCGAGAACTCTGGATAGCGGAACGTGGCGAACGAGCACATGCTCAGCCAAGCCATATGGTCGGAGAGATTCCAGGAGAATCACGCAGCGGGATAACAGCTGACAGCGCAAGGCGCGACGACGTCGGCGCCGACTCACTTACCCTCTGGCCATTTCGAGGCTCTTTATAAGCTTCTTGATCTTCCAGATCTCGACGTTGCGGTCGGCGGAGGTCTCCTCGTTCGACATCGCTGCGGACGTACGTGGGGACGCGTGGTCGCGGCGTTACGGCTGGTGCCCGAGATGCTGAGAATTAATCGCTGCCGCGCGCGCTCTGGTCCGTCCGGAGGTGGACGTGGAAAACGTGGGCGACGATGACGATCGTGTGAAGGAGCAGGCAATGTGGCCCGCGTCGACGACGGGGAACAAAACCCTACGACGGGTTCCTCTCTGCGAAAATTAACGGTTGGGAATTATCGATAGGCACGAAATACCGCACCGATCCAGTTTGCACCGGATTATGTCAGCCACGGAGGAACGTGGTCGACATAGCCATTCATTCAGGGGCGGTCGTCCGTACCGTTCGTCCGCGCTCTCCTTCTCACTCTTTCCCACTCGCTCTCCTCTCTTTCTCTCTCTTTCTCTCTCACTCTCTCTTCCCCTCACGCTCGGTGTCGCGCGCGCGGGCATTAAACGCTCGGGTTTAAGCACGCGCCGTGCGGCCACCTTCGCTCGCGGGCTGCTGTTGTACTCCGCACAGTCCGCACTCACTTTCGGGGGATCGTTACGGCGTGGTAGGTGCGTCCGGACACGTCGACGTTGTCGCGGAAGGGCCCTGGCCTCCTCTTCAGCGGCGACGCGGCTCGTGATACGGCGAGTACCACGCGAGTGCGATCCTCAGGATGCACACGTCGGCCATGCGATGTGCACAGCGGAAACGTCAGTGAACCACGGTTGACCACGGTGGACGTGCCGCACGCGAGACAAAATGGGAAGCAAAAAGACCCCGAGGCCGCCCAGTCGCGCACACGAGCGCGCACGATTGCGAATCGCGCGTTCTTCATTGGCCGGCGGCCCGCGCGCGCCTTCGAGTCGCCTCCGCATGAAACTCCGCCGCGGCGACGGCGATCGGGCGATAGTCATTTGTGAACGCGTACCAAATTTCTTCGCAAAAATTCTTTAATTGGATTGGAAGCCGTAGTTGGCCGTAATCCGATTTAACATTTGGTTGCCGAATATGAATTTATTAATTAGCAATCTCTAGATGGACGCCAGCTATTCATTGATCCAATTTTTTGGAAGGGAAAAATAAAAATTTTATTAAAGAGAAGAATAAATTTGATCAATTTGATAAAGAATTTTGATGAGAAATAAATATAATTAAATAGCATGTTGATGTACTGATGATATAAAACGGCGTAAAGAGTGTATGAAGCTTATCAATACACTTCACTGATTGACACTTCGTCTACGCTTCCCAACTTCGCTCTTTAGTCTCTAAAAAACTATTTAGAGAATGCTATTTTGCAGAAACAACAGGACAGCGAGTGCTCGCTGCAAAAATCCTTAGATTTGCGGGCGGAGAAAGAGTCACTGAGTCGGGAATTAGAAGACAAAGTGAATGAAATTCAGAACATATTAATGTCATGAAGGCTGATCACAAAATAAGTGATCAATGATCTACTAAATTCATACGAGGTTGTCGACTTTCATTTCAGCTAGTCGATCGCTGAAAGCTGAAAGTCGACGAGTTCGTATGATTTTAGTAGCTCGTCGATTGCTTTTTTGTGATCAGCCTTAATCTAATGTCGAAGATCATCGAAGATCGAAGATGCTTTCGCCGTGGGCCCTTATATATGATCTCTGGTCGAATTTCACATTTGAGAAATAAAGCCACCTAGCGGTGAAAACGCTTATCACTCGGAGTAATTCCGACAAAATTTGAATTCGTCATGGGTAGCGACTGTGTTTTTAGTAAAAACTTTTTACACGACTTAAAGGGTTCTGTAAAAACACAGTCGCTACCCATGACGAATTGTATAAATAACATTTTTATTTCTAATAAAATAAAAATATATTTGTCGAAAAAAATAACTTTTTTTTACAACACTGCACTCGCATAGTGCCATAAAAAATCTGAAAAAAATCAAGTATACTTTCGAAGGCTTTAAAAATTTATTTATACCATTATATATGCCTGATTCTTGTTTGGGTTTTTTTTTATGAGTCCGTAAAGTCTCGGGTCTTCAAAGCCCCACTTGTTCTGCGAAGTCAAAATTACAATTGCTTACTCTGAAGCAAAACAATCAAAATGCTCTCTGACTCTCTCCGTTGAATCCAACATAATATGTAAATCGTCAATGTAGCAAGTTTTAATCTCACCAGGTGTTTCTCTCTTTTGCGATGCTTTTTTCACCAGAATTGCATGCAAACTGCAATTTCTCGTAAAATTATAAATTATAATTTATAATACACAGGAATTAAATAAATTAACAACTGTCATCGATATATCCGACAGCGACATGTTGTATTTGCATATGCTTGAATACAAGTTTAATGCGAACGCGATTGATGCTATAATTATTATAACGATATCAACTGCGATTTCTACTCAATCTGCTGACAAACCGCTGACGATTCGTTTCCTAAGTCCGGGATAAGTAAATCAATAAAAAACAGATTTTGCAGCCTGTTTTGTCATCAAAAAGGCAAATTTGGTGATGCAATATATGCTATTATAGTGAAAATTTCGCCATGAATGAGATACAATGGCATGCCATTTCTGCAGAAATTGATGGTATAGAAATCAAGTAAACTTGAACGCAGATCGTTGGTTATCATCAGAATCTGCTGGTTCTGCCGTTAACACGTCATCGTATTGTTTGCGAGCTCTGTGTCAGCAGAACACAAGCTCAATCTGCTCAATGCGAATGCAGTTGACATTCGATTTCTACCGACAGTTTATTCGTCGAGAATATGTCGCCAATTTGTCCAGAAATTCATTCTTTCTGTCACAGATTTTACATAATAATGTTTTTTCCTATATAAAATGATTCAGAAACGTTTCCCACGTTTTGTTTCTTTTCTCTTTCTTCCTGCAAAGCATACCTACGTATATATTTTTTTCAAGTACGGAAAGGATGAAAAAATGCACATATCCAATTTCAGGTTTCTTCACAAAATCCGCGATAGTTGAGTCAATCAACGTGACGCTCAAATATTTGGATTGTAGTCTATTAATATCAGAATAAAATAATACAAGTAACAAAAAGAGAAGAAGTTCGTATTTTAGAGCTATAATGATCCAACTCCAATTAATATAAACATAAAGGGCAACTGATTCAATCAGAAGAATCATTCAAAGCAAAGTCTCTATAGCTATATAATTCGTTATCCTTTACTCCAATCCTTCCTTCCATAGCCAATCTTAAAAAAAAATTTAATTCTATCTACGTTAACAAATTAGCAAACATTATATTGTTATTAGTTTTTTTTGGAGGTTAGGCTCCTCTTGAGTTAGGAGCGTAAGCATAGGCCTCCAACCCTGCCTATTGGGTTATATAGCGCTCGTTTAATAAGTTAATCATTAATTATGTTAATCGGAATTTAGTCGTCGTTATAAATTTCATGATCCAAGGTAGATGTGTGGCGTGGACCGCGTGGAGCGTGGCTCGCACGCGGCGCCGTTATCCAAAGACTCTAATTGGTCGGTCTGTTTTTGTCCAGCTGAGCTGTATGTACATACCTAGGGAATAGGTTAAGTTGCCACATCATAATAACCTCTCTAATCATTTACAAGACACCCTGTGAACTCATGATTTGATCGCCGGGCGGTTTTCTCGACGAGGAAATAATTCCTCAAACGCGAAAACGATCCTCTCGTCGCAAACAATGCCCGTGATCATTTTTTTGTCAATGAATAAAAAGAAAGAGAGAGAGAGAAAGAGAGACACACAGGACACAGGTTGCCCCATCTGTTGTTTCTAGGTCGTCGTGACGGACGCGGACCATGGGCAAAAACCAAGCAAAAAGGCAATGGCGGCTACCCGTTGGACGGCCAGCGAGCTCGGCTACGTGAAAAATCTCAGAAAGATGTGATCTTTCGCGTCGCGATCGACGGGCGTAAATTCGAGGTACGTGCCCCGCGACTCTCCCCCTTCGAAGGCGACAATTTTCCCGACACGGCGGCACGTCCAGGCGACGCGAGAACGGACTTTGGGCAACATGTGGATCCCGAGCGATTCGGTCGGGAAAACACGATTCGTCACGGAGAAATAAATCTCCGTTGAAGTAATCTCGATGCTCCAGCGGTGCGCGTCGCGAGTCGAACCTTTCGTCCGCGCGATCGAATTAAATGCTCGATCTCTCGTGCGTCAGCCGCGACACAAGACAGAATTAGCGTTAAACAAACGTCATGTGCTTGTCAGTAACACGCTTGTTTACGAAATTTCTTGTACACGCCTGTACTGATTTGCCGATTTCCAATAATGAAACATATGTGATATTGCATAAAAGATATAAATGATTAGAAATGGTTTGCTTTCTGACTTGTTACTATTGGCATATGATGTGTCTTGTATAAAGCTATATTCTAATATTCTAATGTAACAAATTTGATTGATGAGAATGTGTATTAAATATCTGTGTAGCTGTAATATTTCTGTTTTTTTTTCTCATAATTTTATAAATTTTAAACTGTTTATTCTAAATTAGTTTAAAATTTCTCTTTTTTTTATAGGTGTATGGCCTGAGGGCAGGGGAGCATTGTTACCTGCAAAGGTAGAAATGGCACACGGTGTGTACAGAGGATGGCTGATAAACGAATGGACTTGTTATCGAATCGATTAGGCAACGAATGGTGGTCATTGGCAAGTCAAACAGAAAGATACGACAGCAGGCAGGAAGGAGTAAATGAGCGAGCGCACCTAAGTAATGAGCGAGACTCGGCATTATCCTATTCGCTCGGTCTCGGACTTATACGCAGCCGAGGAAATAGAGGTGCTTCTTCTAGAAGAGATACGCGATCTGGAACCACCACCTGCCATATATTCTAAACCCGAAGACATTCAAGACTTCGAGATTGGTATGTACAAGGTTTCAACTAAATGTTTGTTATTTAATATAATTTACATATGGAATCTTGTTTACAAAATTAAAACGCTGGGCTATGTCAATAAATGCTTCATAGTTGTTTTCTATAATATTGAAATAACATATTAAAACTCTAGCTGCCTCTTGTCTCACTTGTTTCATTTACTTATGAAATTATGCCTACCTAACTGCATATACGAATGTATACATGGTTTTGATATTGTATCAATAGCAGGCAGTAGGACAGGGGGGCGAATCAGCTCCCAATCGTCAGAGCTGGATTCGCCAGGGGTGCATTCGACAGTCCATTCTTGGGATTCGCATGCTAATTATCATGGTCACTATGGTAATAGTGATCATAGACCTGGCTCATCGAACGCCATGCCTTGGTCTCGCGCAAGCCACGTCGTTATTTACTGCGACATACAAGGACATCTTAAAACGCCTACGGGTGTTGTTAGACTTTTATTACTTGTGAGTGTAAAATCACTTTTATGTAGAAAATATTTGATGTATGACAAACTCAAAGTTTGTGCCACTAAAGTTTATAGATACATTAATGAGCGCATTTCGTAGATATCCTCTGCAGCTTGTTTGGCAACTTTATGCAGTTCTGGCACTGCCAAGGTCAGCATTTTTATGCTGCCTTTAGCAGATCGTTTACGATTCATGATCTTTGTAGCTGTTTTCTGTTTCTTGGTCACTGCAGCCCTTCTCTTCCTTGATATTTCGCATGTCATTTACATCCTTCCTTTAAATTGGGCTAAGCTGGTAAGTAATATTTTGTTATAACACATGTATGTTTCAGAAATTATTTGTGTAATTATTTAGATATGACTAGATATAGTTGATCCTGTTACGTGTAAGAGTTTATTTTTTTTTTCTAGAATGCTATAGTATTCACTGGCATAGGCTTGTCATATGCTGCGAGTAGCGCATTAATAGCATGTACAATATGGGAATACCACAGTGGAGGTTGGGTACCAAAACGCACACGTTCTCAACTGACTGCTGCGGCAGTAGTGGGACTTTTCTGTGCTCTCTTAGCGTTTTTACTGTCCTGGATACATTGTCGTAATGGATCAAGTTGTAAAGGTCAAGATTCTCGTAGTCATACCCCGACGCAACTTTACAAACCCGTTGACAATTCTTCTTCCTCTGGGGTAAATAATCTGTTTGTTTTATGGCGCAAGTGTCAGCTATTAATCACGGTGTAAACATAATCTAAAATGCAGGTAACTTTGAAGGAACGTAGTCCTAAGAGACCGGCTTCGTGGGCCGTGAAAAATCAGCAATCGAAGAAACGCAACGCGGACAGTGACACGAACACTAGTAACGGTGGCCATCGCGGTAGCAATCACGAGAAATTTAAACAAGGCGCCAATAGAAAGGACCACTGGGCTACAGCCAAGCAACATATTTTAGAAACACACGCGAATAACGAAGATACTCAACGGGAGGATACTGAGATTGAGAGGAGACGGAGAAGACGAAGAAAAGAGGGTGACAGTAGTTCAACTGGTGACGGAAACGCGCCAGGTAGTAGTAAAGTCGATGCCAGCCGTGTTACTGCTGAAGAAGCCAAGACTAGGCGAGTGCCGCGAAAGTTACCTCTACAGTCTGCAGTGGAGCAATCTCAGTCGTGGTCCGACGCCGAACGTAGGAATAGTGGTACTACGCAAATTAAAAGTAAAGCTAGGCGAACGCCAGTGAACAATGACGCACAGAATTGTTGTGAAATGAACGAGGCTAGATCGATTAATCGAGTGACTCGAAATGGCCTCCGAAACTGGGAGGCGGATTGTACGTCTAGCAACGGTATAGAAGAAACTACTGATACGAATGTGGTTCGTAACGCCATGTGGCCCGGACAGTGGCGTCCACCACCAGATGATGTTCAACCTTGTTCTAGCAAAACTATCGATCCTTACAGCTTTGCCTGAACCTGAACGTTTTGTGAAATACGAAGCACACACACTTTAGGTAAAAAATAAACTTGTTCCACCGAGCAGTTTCTGTGAACAGTTTGTGACATAACGAAATTTTTTACAAACTAAGTACATCTATATACTTCACGTTGAACATTTTTCTTTTATTAAATTGCAACAGTAATTGGTACCTATTATCTAATTGAAATTTTATATCTCTTGTTTGCATACGGTCGTCTGATTTTAACACATTCGGTATTCTGTTCGGTATTAAATAATGCATAGTGACTAAAATAATAACTATATTTTGGTTTTATATGTTGTATCTGTGTTTTCAACTGTGTTTGAAGTCTGATGTGATTTGAGATGTTAACGTAAAATATATAGATTACTATATTTCGTATATATGTAACAGGTGAAATAGATCGTAGCCCGGACTCATCAAGTTCGTCGCTATCGAATTTTGCAGGACAAAATTGTGTCCAAAGATTTAAAATCTTGTATAAAATTATTGCTGCCTTGTACATTTTGCTGCCAAGAGAATAGGTTCTCTTTAGTTGTTCGGGTCCTGACGTTTTGCATCACACAAAACCAGACTGCCCAACTTTGATAAGCAAATAATGCCACTTCATTCCAATCGTGTACCAAATAATAAATCTAAAGTAAGTTTTAATGGGATTTTGTAAGTATAAGACCACTATATAGCACGTAACACTAATATATATTTGACTAATTATTTCTATCATATTTTGATGCCAACATATTTTGAGCTCCATGCATACTTGAAAAAGCATTTAGTACATGCAAGGAGAAATCGCCTATAGTTTAAGATGAAAGTGTATATATTAAACCTTGAAAGGATTATATACGTACATATAGTAAAATGCAGCTAGACCGATCTTTCTATCAATCCTACATACAAAGAACGGCAGTTGTAATTGCAAATCGCGACTGTAATTTGTCTATTTTTAAATTTATCTGCAATTGCCAATTTTTGAAACACAAGTATAAGATTTTTTTAATTAAATTGATAATATAATTAAACATATTGGTTTTATTTAAAAATACTTAAAAAACTATGTTATGATTAGCAGGGGAAAATTTAAGTTGAAGTTATAAATACTTGAAAACGATGCTTTTAATAAAACTTTTAATAAATAATAAAAGATTGTAGGTACGCAAAATTAGAATAACTTTCTACATTCCTCAATTAGATTTTATTTTATTTCAAGTTTTAATTAAGCTATGATCGAAAGCTTGTTAATAACCAGCAACATAATATTAAAATCATATTTTATTTTGCAATGACAATACCTTTAAACGTATACTTCACACAATGGCCTTATAGAATTTTAAATTTTTATTAAAGCACGTTTTGAGGAAAATGCTAAAAGTAATTCCATATAGGGAGAATTTTTTATTGACTCATAATAAAATTATAAGACTTAATCAGTATTCTTTGCATTGGAAGATCGGTTTGGCATTAGTTCCCGTATGAACAGAATAGTATGCGTGGAACAATTATTCATTGTATTATTCCAATTAGCTCACACTCTGAAATGTGCTCATTATATTACAACAGTATCATTCTTGCACAAGGACGGATTTACTAATCACTTAAATCACACAAGTTTTCTTTGAATTATAATATACCCAAATTAAATAATACTAATTTCAAGAAATATAATGTTGATAATTGATTATTTTCTATCAAGTCTTAATTAAATTTTTCACATACATCAATATAGAAACTAATAGGTTTTTGCTGATTGAGTTAAGTATTAAAAGAGAATAATCCGTCCCTGTTCCTGTACGCATCATTTACAAGTATCTTACGTAGTTTTAAAATTAGACGAACAGTATTATTTTATTGTGTTAATTATATTAATCTTTTACTTTAACGAGAAAGTCTAGTCAACTCTAGTCAAGCACTTTTTTGTACAATTATATCTTCTTAATAATCCATCAAATTTAAGAGCAAAGTATTTTTTAGTACATACATATCGTGTTAGAAGTACAATTCATCTTAGAAGAAAACTGTTGAGCGCTTGTTTCCTGATTGATAATTCCATTGAATTTCTTAATATATAATAGCATCACATAGTCTTCAGAATTCCTCTGATATCTCGTTTCTTCTTCGTTTAATGTATCACGACCATTATACGATCGAATAAATATAAACATGTTAGCTAATCTTGAGTAAGACAACTATTTTGTCTGGCAACAGCTATTTTGTCTTTTGATACGATGCCGCGAGTATAAACACAAAATAAAATACACATTTATCGAACTTTAATGCGTCGACCTTAAATCAATTAATAGTGTAAGAGAAATGCGTGTTCATATAGATTCATAAAGAGAAAATAGCATATAATACAGCAGCTTCGTTGTGGCAAATATCGATGGTGTTATAACTCGTTTTGTTGGATATAAGAAATAATGTGTAACTCTTCTGTATATGATTCATTCTTGGTATGCTGAGAATTGAAAGAGTGATTATCGCGAAATAAATAATGCTATGTTAAGAGTAACTGATCGAATAAAATGTCACTTGGCGTAATAAGGCAATTAGCCTTGAACTAAATCAAAGTGTACAAACACTGCCAGAGGAAATATAATGCTCTTTGAATGTAATGTAACACCGATTCTCTTAATGACTTTACATCCAAGGCTTGTAATTTTATGATCTGTAAGTCGAATATGCGCACATAGCTTCATATCATTTTATTTCACATTCCATATTGTTATTTGTAATAATAATAGATTTTTAAATGTTATAATTCTCAAATTTTTTAGGAAGAATTAAAAAATATGATTTGTCAAATAATATTATGAGATAAGGAACAGCTAATGGATTAAAGTCATTATTATTATTACAATAAAGATTAAACTATCACTTGACTACTTCGATATTCGCGACTATCATTTGCTTCAACGAAGTTAATATAATAAATAGCAGTATGTTTGTGATACATGAAAAGCACTGTTTCCTTAGAATTTGTATGACTAAATTATCATTCAGGCAATAAATTTCGATTACGATTAATAGACGCAGATTTCTTTATATGTTAAACTCGATTGACAATGATCTGTAGTGATAGCATGACAATCCAAATCTATATATGACCTGAGTCCTTTAAAAATCGGGCGAACTAAAAGGAATTGATAGGAAAAATCATTGTAGTTAAAACAAGTATGTTAATGAACATTTTATTAATTAAAAAAATGTATTTATATTATCGATATCGAAAATTAGAAATTTAATTTCACATAATAAATTCCTGTCAATTCGTTTTAATTCTTCTAACTGAATAATTTAACTGGCCTAATTCCTTATTCGCTAAATGATAGACACACATGTAACGCGTTACATGGCCCAAATACGAAGTGTTCGTCTCATTTGAATATTTCTCATGTGTTTTAATATTTATGTGAATGTATTCGAGTATTGATATATATACCTATATAGTGTCATTGTATTTATATTTAGTTACATGTGAATGAATAATGTGATGCTGCCAATAATTATAGTGAACATCAAATTGTAGCGACGTATTATAGGATTGTTAGGCGAATCGTGAGTCGAATGTCTTTGCAGAAAGTCTGAAAATGAATACGAGTAAATAAGACGGCTGGACAGATTATCAAGTATGACGTAGATATCATGCGACATAGCATCTTGGCGATTTGTCGAGCTGATAGCGAATGATCTGGACAATAAATGATTCATGAGTCACGTAACACCTAAGTTATAGCATTATCACATATTCTTTTAAATGTTATTTTATACATCTAGGGGTAAATGAACAGCGAGTATTATACACTATTGACTGCGTGGGGTTGTGCGTGTGATTGTGTATGTTACTTAACAATATATCACAAGTCTAGTCAGAATGAACCTTGTATAATATTACTTGAACAGAACAATGTGTACATTTGTTAGTAAATGCGTTATAAACGCGCGGTTTGATTGGCGACAGCTAATTGTAACATTATATTCTGCGTATATGCCATTGAAGAACCATTGTCACGCAAACGTCCGAAATACAAACGGAATTATCAAAATCGTTGCGCGATCTATTAAACGCCTTATAAGGAACCAAATGTCTAACAAGAATAGTATGTATAAATCGTTATATGTGATAACGATTTTTCCATAGTTAATGCAAAATAATTATTTTCAACGCGAAGGCAAAGCTAATGCAAAAGATAAACATTTAGAATAAAATTCAGCTTATCGAACTTCTATACATAATGTCAATCTACAATTACGTGAATTTTCAACACTTTTATCGCTACTGTTATATTATCGTTACCGTCAATTCTGCAAAGTATCAAAAAATCTCGCGTAGAAATTAAAGAAGAATAATATTATTTGCGTGTGCAACTTCAATGGAACTTCTCATCGAACTAATGTAGGGGAATCGCTCAATTGTTGGAATTATTGCGTTCAGTTTCCTTCAATTTTCCAACTATTTCTTCCAAGTTTTTACGACGTACGCAATACTTAGTTCCATCGCTTCCGCTTAGCATAGAGGAATAAGGATACATATGTTCGACATAGCGATGAATCCAGCTGCTTGAAGAATGAAGAAGCCGAGAAAATATCACATAAAAATGACTCCAGTGTTGAACATAAAAATCATATTTCCGATATATACTTCAGTTGTTGAACACATGAACAGCTTACCTTTGATTTCGGGCGGGCAGAGGCGAAGTCTGTAACGATATGCGGTAAGTAAACGTGTTCCAGAATAATCTTACGTCTCTATATCTTCTTACCTGCCGTTGAAGTCTTAACTGCTTCAGTAATAAATATTTACAGACGGATCTCGTCCAACTGTACTGATTACAGTATACGTTCGATAATCCGGATAGATCCGCCGGACACGTCGAAAATTGTGGTCTCGCCGTCGAATGACGCTGTTGGTGAAGCAGGTGTTGCTGCTGGCATATGTAATTCGAAAAATACGGATCATCATAGGCTGTTAAATGACCCGAGGAAGACGCTAAAGAATTCGATATTGCAACTGTAATAAAATTTAAGTAATCAATATTTGACACTTTTTATGCCTAATTAATCATTATGATTTATTATGTTCCACACAAAGTACACTACAAAACAGGTCTGAAGGATTATTTAACAGAATATGTTACCTTTCGCTCTCTGAACACTCAACAACGTGTCATAATATTGTTTCTTGTATGCAGCTAGTTGAAACATTGAGCGAGCTTGAAAATTGTTATCTGAATTTACATTATCTGATTTTGATTCTATCATTTCGCATCTGTATTAAAAATCGTTTTATTATTATATTAGCATTGTGTACGATTAAAATATTCAATAGAATAAACACACATTTACCCATGTCCTGATTCTTGCATATTTTTTTCTTTGCATTCGAATGTAGTCGCTTTCTTTTCTGTATTGTGATCTAAATTATTTTGTTGTAATTGCAATTCAGTTACTTTATTAAATTCATGAGAGTTGCATTTCTTTTGCAATCCATTATCATGAGTATTAACTTTTTGTCTTGTCCTTCCAGCTAATTTTTTCTGATCTTTTTCTGTGTTAATATTTGTATTTTGCTCTTTTAAAAGTAAGCAGCTGTTGCTATCGCTATTTGAGACATTAGATGTAAAATCTTGTTCTAAAACTTTTGATGGTGTTCCAGATTTTAGTTCTTTTGATGTGAAATGTACCATATTCAAGGAGCCCACCTGTGGATGCGACCTGATGCGTGGAAAGGCCGACAATTCTGTATATATTAAAAATTACTTTTATAAATTTGTACGTTAACTATAATTAATATATATATATTAAATAAATCGATAAAATGCATAATATTACCGATGAAAATTCCTTCTTGCGCTCGTTTTAAAAAATTGTTTAAGCTCGTTTTAAGTCTATCACGTGCTGTTGGTAAGAAATCGTCTGCCTGTAGAATTTAATTAATTTAATTTTACTTCTAGAAATACTCCAACTTAAACTAAAATTCGTCTTGTTTAATACATTTATGATAATGTCCTGATCTTCGTCGCAACACACATCCATTTTATGTATATCATTTTTAATTGTCTGCTTCATTGTTGCATCTTGTCCAACATCGATTATTGTATGTGAAATACCAGACTTTTTATCTTTATTAAATGCATCTTCGTATTTAACGTCATTAAATTGTTGAGGAATTTTATTTTGCCACAAATTTATCTCAGTTTTATTACACATTTTTGTAGAGCGTGTATCCTAAAATTTATTAATCCCTTGTAAGTTACATTAGAGTTTATTTCACTCATCTTTATTTATTTATTTCTCTCTTTTTATGCACAGACCTGATATCCCGTCTGAGACGAGTGACAAAAGTGTGATTCACCAATCGTATTATAATTAATTCTAGCAGGTACACAATATTTCTTATTAAGCAGATATTGTCGATAAGACGATACTTGATGTTTATTATTTCTCTCCTGCCAATTCTTTGGATTATCGTTTAAATGATGACTCGATGAATCCGCCTGTTGATTAATATATAATATAGAATTTTAACTAATAGCTATAATTTCTAAGTAAAAAATTACATATATTCTGTTATATAAATAAATTACATTTTTTACATGACTGGGAATCATAGAAATTTCGCTCTCGGAAAAACCTCGAAAAGGAAAAGCTTCGGAAAGAGGCGACTTAAAGTTCGACGCATTTTTATCGTTTAAAAAACTTTGCTTGGGTGATGAAACACTATCCATTATTTTGTCCACGTTTTTAGTATCAAATATATTTTGAAACGTATTGCTGCTGATGTAATAGTATGAGGTGTAAAATTATATAATAATAAAAATGTATCACAAAAAGGGCTTACTTTTCCTGCAGATTGAGTTTAATAAAACCTGTGGTTGTACGAAACACTTCTTTAATTGTGTGATCTGGTATATTGTTTGGAGAAGGTATCATTGAAAGCAGTAACTGCTTTTTTTGGAAACCACAATCTTCTAGTATACCTTTGACTTTTCTTAGCACACGTTCATATGCTTTAATACCATCTTTTGGTTGATACATGTGCAGTAATTGCATAATTATTTTCGAAAGATTGTCTCCTTCACAATCGTGTTGTATGGCTGAATATAACGATGAAAGATCTATTGCTGATGCAATGGTATCAGTGTCATTTTTACTCTCTAGTTAAGGAATATATATTTTAATTAATTTCTTCATTAAAACTAAAAATTAATCTCTTACATTTTATAATAATTTTGTTATGTTCTAATATATCTCTAAAAGAATAAAATCTAATTCTATATATTTATTAAATAGCTAATTACTTCTGTTTATAGAACTGTAAAATATTATTTGACCAAAATTAATATAATCATATAAATACATATGATTTAATAAATGGAATTGACAACCACAATCTATATAGCTATTATTTTTAATTCTAGATAGCTATATTAAAGTATATTACTCACGCTGCTCAAAATTGTCCATACTCATGATAATATAAAGGACTTATGTTGCAAAGAGAGTCACAAATTATTCACGACCTTAGGTATCCTACTAAATTCGATGAGTCAAAATAAAGTATTCGTGAAATAATTGAAGTATTTCCATTATTGAAAACAGATGACGAATGCAATATACACGACTCATTTGTAAAACGATAAAAATCCGATTGCATCCATAGAATGCGCTACTTATATACATAGTGTACAAAAAAAAACGTGTGACTCAATAAGTTGGAAAGGAAAAAATTAATCTATAATATAGCCGCAGTTTTTTTTTAAGTAAACGCAGTTCTCTCATTTTTAGACTTTTATTCTCCTTTAAAGAATAAGCATGCATTTTATCTCCACTGTTTAAAATAGACATACTTACACTCTTCAAAAGGAAATCGCATTTCTCCAAGAGGAAATTACCATCGGCTAATTAAAATACACAACTGCAAGTTCTACATGTGGCGAGTGGATTATTTTAATGAGGCTCCGTTGCGGAACTCGGACCGCAGCATTCTCCGTGCGGATAATCCTAGAGACTTTGCAAGGATTATTGATCAATGATTATTATAAAAGGGAGTTCACACAGCATAGACCACGTTACTTAGTACAATGCCCCGACAGAAAGCACTTTTACTTTCTACCTGCCTGTTGGCATTCGTTGCCAGTTTAACTCTGGCACTTCCACCCGGAGCACCATGGACAAACTTTGTATCCAAACCTGGTAATGTATTCTTTTTATTATTCTGTTATATTTAAAAAGAATTTTGCTAAGTATTCATTCAGAAAAATTAGATTTCTTCGAGATATCTCTCCTAAATCTAAATTCAAATAATTTTAAATGTCAAATGTAAAATAGAAAACTAAATTGTAAATAATAATAAGAACTTATATTTGTTAATTATTTTCTATTTCAAAAATTTAAGATTACGAAACAGGTATAAAAAAATAAAAATTTAATGATTTTAAATCCAATTTTATATACAAAGATTTCTTGTTTATTATTTTTAATTTATTAATGTCTTATTATGTAAAAGATACGATTAGATCTCGTACCAATCATTATTTTGGAATTCGTAGTTTATTCGCGAGCTCTCGGACCTCCAGGAGGAATAGACACGATATCCGTACCCTATATGCCAAAATCTCCGTTCATGCCAAAGTTCGTCGACCCGAAGGCATTTATTTCTAAAAAAACAGATATGCTGAGTAATTTGTTCGGCGGTTTAGGACCAGTTGCGTATAACATGGCAGATACCAAGCCGATCATACCATATGGCGCAAGTGGACTGTCTCTAGATAACACTGATAGTGCAAATGCATTATTTAATAAACGAGACATACTACAAGATGGTAAAGGAAAAATGATCGACAGTAGCGGTATGTATAAACGCGGTATGTTTGGTCCGTTTGCCCCAAAGTTTGGCCCAATGGGTTCGATGGGTCCGATGAGTCCAATGGGTCCAAAATTCGGACCTATCACGCCGTTTTCATCGCCAGAAATGCTGCCCGATTTTATGGATAAAGCATCTTTCTCCCGTAGAAGAAGAAGCATAGAAACGCCTTCTTCTGCAGACAGCATTAATACTATTCCAGGCTCATCATCTTATCCAAAGATAGTAGAAAGTATGTCGGCAACCAAACCAGCCGCTGATGTACCAAAGGAATACTTGCCAGGAATGTTCGGACCTTTCGGGCCAGGTGGACCTTTTGGACCAGGCGGGCCTTTTGCACCAAATTTCGGACCAAGTAGTTCTTTCGGGCCAGTGGTGGACCCGAGCGCAATCATCTCGAAGAAATCAGAATTTCTGGATACGCTCTTCAAAAATCTTGCCACTAGCACTCCGGCAACGACAACCGAAGTACCTGCGCCGAAAAGCACTATTGTACCACCCAGCTTCTGGATACCATCTTCCGTAATTCCTGGCCCAACCGAGTATACCCAGAAGGTGTCGGACTTTCTGGACAAATTATTCGACAGTATAAATGTAACTGCGTCAGAAGCAAGCGATGGTTTGGACACAAAAAGCGATTTTATGAGGTCTTTAAAACCTGATGACATTTCACCGGACAAAATCACAAGATCCTTGGATGATGCGTCGTCCATCGCAGCCGCTAAAGATGCAATCGTTGATACAATACTATCGGAGCTTGGTGATTTAAAAGGCGATATGTTGGCGACTTTGAATGATCTAATCGCGTATGAGAAGGCTTCGGCAGCTGCCGCCGCTCCGAAGAAGTCTTTTAAACCTTTCTCTAGCATATTTCCCTTTGCGAAACCGACAATAGATCCAACGCTTCCATTTCAGCAGAGAATGACTGTACTCAGTCAAGTATTCGATATGCTGACGGAATTGCAAAGGAACATCAGCGTGGTCGCGAAAAGCGCAATAGCAACTAATGCTAGTATTCCGAATAATCCGGAATTGCCGAAGGTCCCATTAGCTAACGCTGCAGTTGCCGCTTCACCGATTAACAGCACTCTCTTGAACGCCATTCTGAAGAAAATATCCGCTATGGAAATTGCAACTCAGGCTCCCTATTCGGCTTCTTATCCAGCTTCTTATCCAGCAAGTCCCGTCAAAGAAAATCCTATAATGAGCAGAGCTTTGCCCAAAGGACCAACATCTTTCTGGGTGTCTTATCCAGAGAATTCGGCGCCCGCTGTAAAACGACAAGTGGACGATGATTTGCTACCATACTACGGATATGAAAACGATAAGGATCAGCGTGATCATAGACAATACACGAGAGGCGTACAAATGCAGATGCATCAAGGCTATCAGAGTCTACCTGCAGGTTCGGTGGAATCTGTACAAGCAGGAGGTGGTTCTACACCTGGGCATCAAGGAGGAGGAATCAAGTTGCTGGTAAGTGAGATTTTATTTTAAAAGACGAATAATTTTAGTAATAATTAACTGAAACATCAAGAGAAAGGAAATTTGAGTCGTTAATTATAAAAGTATGTACAGCTTTCATACATACAGTATTTTTCATTAAAATTTTTAATAATTCGTATATATTGCAGTTTATTATAATAATTCCTAATAAAAATTATCTTGGAACGAAGAAAAAGATTTAGAAAATTCTGCAAATTATAATTACAGTTCTAAAATTCCATAAATAATTTGTAGTGATATTCAGTAATTGTTATGTTAATAGCACAATATAATTAATCAATTTATATCATTCTCTTCTTAATGGTTCAGTTATTATTATTATATAATGATTATATGTTATTATTATCTTGGACTAATATTTTGTTATCATTAACGCCGACGGTTTGCATTTTCTTCCTCTTTTTAATCTATGAATGTGACGATGTTTATAAAATGTATAGAAATCTCTCTCCAAACCAGTAGTATAAAAAAAGAAATATGTTTGTATCAGAGACGATTCCTAATGTGCTTCACCATTCCTTAAATCTATCCTTAAAAACTCTATATGCATCTATCTTATTCGACTTCATCAAGAAAATAAAATTAAATATTATAAACAACAAAACAGTAAATTAGTCATTCGATAATTTAATGAAAGGCAATGTGCATATATACAATTTTATGTAGTAACATATAACGCGCTATAATACCTTGGAAGCCTATGTACAAAATTATTGCATTCGAAACGAAGAACAGAAAGTTATGTAATTACCTAACATTTTTCGCCGAAGATCTCTTTGTTCTCTATTTAATCGAGTAACACCCACACGAAACTATAAAATATAATAATCTGATTTATTTTCAGATTCAAATGCCTAAATTGCCTAACTCTCAAGCTCCAGGCTTTCAAAGTATTAATTACAATTAAGTACGTGCAAAATGTCTCTGAATTATGAATATCGCGGGCATCTGTTCGTCTGTCGCAGGGACCTAACGCTTACGGAAACTCGAACAAATGGGCTGACTGGATGCAGTATCATGAGAATGATTATCAAGATCGTAGGCAGCATCATAACCACCATTAGGCCACTCAGCCAGCAGGAGTATTTCTTTCACTCTATATTACAATCACAATTAGTCTTCAATAAGAAATCTTTTAAAAATATTATAAAACGTGTAAGTGAACGTGTACGATATTAATCGATTTTTCCCAATAAAATATATTTGGCGGAAGAAGATAAAAAGGAAACGGCAATGTTACAGAATTATTTAAAATTATCTGCGATACATAATCGAGATATATGTAGTACAAAGAATGAATCTAAAATGCCGGATTTATTGTACCGTTCGTTTTTTCATCAACCACAATACACAGTACTTTTTCTATGTATATGTACCGAAGGATATGGAAGGTGTGTGTGAATGCTCTTTTTGACAATATTTAATCTATTCTCTACGTAATCATATTCTAATAATAGCAGTAATACGCTGATGTGCCCATCAGTCGCGCAGACAGACCGCGACACACGGACGCAATCCTGCATCAAGTGCGTTGCTTTGTTCGTCAATCAGCAATGCATTGCACGCAGGGTAGTGTTAGTGTGTTAGGAAGCATCACAGTTTGGTTACGCGACATAGCGTTCTATAAGAGTGCGTAGGTGCATTATTGACTAACATTAATATCAACTCGAAGAAGTGGAGAGACAAGAAGTTTCTTTACTTCGGTACGAAAAATGTTATTTATAATACTTGCTAGATATACCTGATTTCGTTTTTACCCTTGTTACACTTTCATACAAAATTGTGGAAATACTGGCAGTATCGGTAAGTATAGACTTGTATGTTGCCCGTTCTTAATAATTCGAATTACTAAAGATACGATCTATATATTCGTAAGTAACGAGCCACTTTCGGATTCGTCGCAAAAGCGAAGTATTCTTAACGACTTTGGTACTTTGCTATCGATTGTACTATACTCCCTTAAGGATGAGTCACTATCATCTGCTTTTAGTGACTCTAGTGATAAGATATTCCATTTGTTGATCAATACGAAATACCATGTAAAACGATGCTAGTATACTACCCAATGTTACCAGGAATCCTAATCCCTCGAATATTAGCTTTGGCGCGAATATCTTCCAAACCATTAAATGCCGACAGTGTATAGTCGCCGCGAGCATGCTGCCGAAAGTCTAGAAAATAAATGACGACGATACAGATATATTTAGGTAAATTCATCTTAGAGAAGAAACGATTTAAATGTTGTACATCTCACGCAACATACCCGAATTCCGTGAAGCATCGTGTATTTCCCCGCAATCGCGAAAATTGCAGCGTGAAAAGCAGAATCTTGTTCGAACAGGAGAAGTTCGCCCCTCTTTATATCATCAAAAAACTTGGCCTTGAGAAACTTCGGGAATATCCGATGCAATGTAAATGGCACGACCACTAATAGTGGTAACGTTGCACCCAGTATAATATGCGATCCAAATGTATTAATACCTGAAAATCGTATCGTCAGAAAATTATAACCAGTAGAGATTTTAACTTGGCGATATTAATATACTCACCGATTAAAATTGCCGACACTAAGTTTCCGTAAAAGTGGCCGCCAGTTCCTACAAAGGCAGCATGCCAGTGAATGGTAGGAAACGTTGCCTGATGGCCAGTCCCATAAAAGAAATATTCAGCTAGTAAAAACCAGCAAAGTAACACAGGCATCGATACGTCAACTAGCTCAGCTGCAATAATATATAAAACATTAGAAATATTAAAAACCCAACTGTATAGATAATATAAAGATTCTTGTGTACACTTACAAATACTATTAGCATTTTTGTATCTTTCTATCGCGGACAAACCCAATACGCAAGCGCACGTTATGAACATCAAAAATGTACCAGGCGATAGAATATCTCCCAGCAATAATGCGTACAAAAGTGTGAGAAATACGCTTAACGAGATAAATGCAGCGCTGTAGGCAGTCCCGAAACCATAAATGACCGGGAGCTCATCGGTATCTATTCGTTTGCGGGAAATGGAGTCTTTTATCTTTTCGAATAATCGAGGCACTATGTTTTCATCACGGTAGACGTCGATGGATTCCTTCTTCTTTGGCAGCAAGTATATACTAAGCGGACGATAGTAGAGGACGAGGATCGCGAGGGCGCAGAAGAAGTAAACCACATTAGGTAGCGTATTGATCTCCCAGGACAACGCGAGTTTCGGCTTGACAAACTTCGGGAACTTTTGCAGAATCCAGTAGCAACCCATGCAAACGCTTACGATAACCGGACAGTACTGTCCTATCATGACGCTCGGGGCAAAGCCCGTGAGATTTCCACAACTTTGCAACCATAATCTAACTATCACCACGTATGACGCCAGGATGACTGAAGCGAGTAGAACGGCGAGTAGCGCGCGCTCCCAGTTATTCGGCACTGTTGACCAGCCAACTTTGCCGGTTGCAAATATAGAACATTCCCGTTGTAGATGCTCCTCTCTACAACGCCAGAAATAATGCGACAGCCTCACCGCGGCACACGCTAATAAACCGATAATTAGCACGGGTGTCCTAAAATTTGATTTGATTGGTTTCGAAGTAAATCTTGTTTTCCTCTCGGAAGTACTATCGGGATCGTTCTTTCTCAGGTCAAATATGAGCAGGCAAACGAGCGTAACGAACAGGAAGGATAAGACTTTGTCTTCTTCAACTATGTAACTGTTGGAGAAGAGCCCGCATACCGTTAGAAGAAGTATTATCCTCGCTACATAAGTCAACAGCTTGATTCGACGATGATCGTACCAGCACATCGATATGACATCCCAATTTTGAGCGATCACTATGACCAGTAGACCGACAGAAACCGCGCCAGTGACGAAAAACGTTGTATTTCTCAATTCCTCTAAAATATTTAACAGAAACAAACACGTGGTAATTGCCGCGGTAATTAAATTTGCTATGATAGCGCATTGCAAGAATGAAGATTTAAATATATCACACATACGACTCTCAGGGATACCGGTGATGAAGAGGTAAAAGAAAAACAAGGAACAAAACATCAAAAGTAAACCCTTGGAAATTAGTCCGGAATCAAATTGGACCCATACTTCCGAACACGTGTCCTTCAACAACTTAAAATAGCCTTTGGTGTCCCGAATAAAAGCTTCTAGTTTTTCAAAGCTGTCAACTTGCTTAACTCGCTCCGAGAGAAGACTGTATATATAATGCAAATGCTGCAGCTGCTCTTTCGAAAACAAGTACGTATCCGCGGAATATATCTCTATGTACTTCTTCGTTTGGGCAATGTTCTTCCACAGAGAATGCAACGGATATAATAATTGACCGGCAGCCATCTCCTCCGATCTACTTGGCAAACAATCGAGTATTACGGATCCTAAATTGGAAAAGGGAATTGGCGTGCCGAGAATCGACGCCAGGGTGGGAACGAGATCAATTTGATTTACGCTATCGTCGTCATCGATCGCAAATCCCTTCAGCAGCGGAGTCGTCGAGTAAACGAACATCGCGGCCTCCACTTCGTTGGGACTGTCACCACCGTGATCTCCCGTCTCAGTCATACCGTGATCTCCAACAACGAAAAGCATCATGTCCTTCTCGAGAGATGCTACAATCTCCTTTATAAGCGTATTCGTATCATTCAATTTCCTCGTCATTTCTGGATGCTGCGTGCCGTGTTTGTGCCCGCAGTGATCAACCCCGAGGGTGTGCGCTATCAGTAGCGACCAGTCCTTCTTCTTCATCTCAAAGAAGATGCGATACTGAACGTCCTTGTCCACGCTGTCCAGATCCCAGACGTTGAACGACGGCGACGGGAACTGCCTCATAAATTTATCCGGAAATAGATTGGTCCACGTGTCGTCCCCCATGAAAACGATACCCCCGGCGGCGTTTTGGTCAATGAGATTGTCTTCCTGGATGTACTCCGAGGCGAAGTTCGAGCCTACCTCTATGAAAGTGGGCAGGGAGCCCGTTGTCAGGCCCTTTAGGCGCTGCATCGTCGTGGTGGGTGGATCAGCCATGAATCTGTACAGCCGAGAGTGCGACGGATGTTTCTGCAGTAGCTCGTGAATCACAGGCAATTTGTTGCGATGGTAGGAGGAGACGGCGGCGGTGTCGTCGTGCCACTCGGCGAACTCGTACTTCAAGGCGTCGACGATCAGGAGCACGACCCGCGCTCTGCGCTCGAGGCATACCTTGGCGGCGCGCTCCGTGTCCTGGAGAATGCCCGCCGTGTCGCAATCGCCGCCGGCCGCCGTGCACCGCGCGCATTCGGCACGCTCCGGCCGGGAGACGCGATTGAGGAGGAAGCCGCTGGTGAAGACCAGCAGCCCGGCCGCCATCAGGTAGGACATCCATGCCTGAAACACCAGGTAGTTCCATAGCCGGCTCATCTTCAGCCGTCTCGAGTCAGTGTTGCTCGCGGATGTCGTTCACTGGCGGCACAACGTCAACGGGGGTACTTAACCTACGGCACGCCGGTCCGTTCTCCACCATCGTTGCATCCGGACGCGCGCGATCGGCCGCGGTATTGTTTTGGCCGCGCTAAATGCGAAAGACGTCTAATCGATAATTCATGTGTCGCGGTTCGAACGGGACCTAACCTCAAACCGCTTTCCACTACTGGAGCAGTTCACACATCACATCTCGCCGCAGGGTGCAGTCAGTGCAGTACTGCGGTGCAGGTGCACCCGGTCGCGATTTACGCATGCGCGCGCGATCGGAGCGGCCCGCGGCTGAGGCTCCATATTCTGGCGTTTCTCACACATTCTCACATCGTTTCGACCGTTTCGAGCTCGGCAGTGCCGAAGAGAAATTTCGATTAGCTTTGGTGTCCGTAATCCGTAGCACCGCTGTCGATAGCGAACGAGTGAGTTTCTCACGTTATTATCACGCGTTTACGTTCCACGACGTGCCTTCGATCGTCGCTGACGCGCGCAATAACGGGACGGACGCGTCGAATCTGGTTTCCTAACCTCTCCGCTCGGCCCCAGACGATCGTACGAGCGTTCTGTTTACCAAAGCTTTGTTAAGAAGAAAGGAAGTCTTTTTTTTTCCAGTTTAGTCTATTGGCGATTTTATCTATCGTCATTAACTGTACATATACATATTTTGTGGTATACCGTTTATTCGCGCACGAGATTTCGTTTATTCATAAATATTATTTATTAGGAGTCACCATGACAGGTGGAAACACCACTGAAAAATCAGCTAATAATCCTTTGGAGCAGTTCGTGCTGCTTGCAAAAACTGCGAAAGGCGCCGCCGCCATAGAGCTCATAAGGCAAGCCGTCGAGACGCCCGGCGTACATGTCTTTGGCGAATTATTGGACATGCCGAACATTAAAGAATTAGAGAACGGACCTTACGTCCAGTATTGGAATACCTTGAATCTATTTGCATACGGCACCTATAAAGATTATCTGGAAAATCAAGAGAAAGTGTTAGAGTTAACTCCTACGCAAAAAAAGAAGCTTCAGCACCTCACAATTGTCACTCTGGCTACGAAAAACAAATGTATACCCTACTCGGTGTTGTTGGAGGAGCTCGACATAAAGAATGTCAGGGATCTAGAGGACTTGATTATCGAAGCTATATACGCCGATATAATCCATGGAAAATTAGATCAGAAAAATTCACAGCTAGAAGTGGATTATGCCGGTTTAGGACGAGACGTCCGGCCAGGTGATACCGGCGTAGTAGCTGAGACCTTAGCCGCCTGGGGCGAAGCGTGCGATACAGTTCTATCGTGTATCGAGCAGCAAATATCTAGAGCTAATATTGAAAAACAAAAAGCTACTTATCATAAAGAAAGAATACAAAGAGACGTGAGTTATATTTCCTTCTCTTTTCTTGTCTCTTTATTTGTTTTACATCGTTAAAAGATTAATCATGTGTATAATAAATGTGACATTTCTTTTCTGTTGCCTTTTAGATTACTAATATAAAGAAATCCCTCGCGGCTCAAGCGGGAGGCGGAGGCATTCAAGAGGCTGATATGGCTGGTGGTAGTTCTGGCGCAGGAGGAAGCGAAGCGAGTAGAGAAGCCTTGCCGGTACTGTCAGAAAAGAAGAAGTTACAGAAAGTCAAATGTATCAAAGTCAGTGGTAAGTTTTGGAAGACATAAACTCAATAGTTTCTTGCGCAATGCATATTTTTTTTCATCGTTCATCCGTTCGTTGAGTCGAATATTATACACTTTTGAATGTGTTATAAATCGTGGCTAAATTGCGAGTATTAAAATTGAATTGGAACGTATGTATGGAAAAAATATCGAACATTCTTGTGTTTTTTTTTAGATTATGAAAGACTTTTTTTTTAGATTATGAAATGAATGATGAATGAAAAGTATTATGAATGAGAAGGGTAATATTGAAACGAATTTATTAATTATATATAAAGTATAAACCAAATGCCGAATCGAGAATCCTTTATGTATTTGAAATATTGAGTTTTTAGAGACTTTTAGAGCAAAGTAGGGAAATAATATTTTATACAAAGTGTTCTAAGTATATAGCATCGAATTGTATACATCAAATATGTAAGAGTACTCGATTTTGTGACATTTGTGGACTCGATGTTATAATAATGAATAAAATCAAGAGTACCTTTTCTTATCAAAATACATTTGTAAGATTAATTTATTGACACACACATCAATATAACAAACTTTAAAAAAAAAAAACAATTTTTGAGTATATAAATTTCCACTTTAATAACTGCAAATATTTAGCGAAAAATGTAGAAAGAGCGGTAGATTTCATATTACTTTTACTGTGATTATTTTGAACATCACGATTAGTATTTGCTGTATAAGCTATTTCAGTACTGTTGTTAGCGTAAAATTTAGCAGTTATTCACGGAATTGATTGTTTATTTATTTACATTGAAAGTAATAATATGTACGAGGTATACGTAACGAGGTATATGTGATGATTGTCTTTACATCGAGCATTAAAAAAAAAAAAACAAAAAAAAACAATGAATCTTTTCTTTGTGACAAAGATAATTTTGTAGGTAAGCTTGAATATTCTTGTAATATACCTGTTTATTTTTGTAGACCAAAGACATCATATTTTGTGTTTGTAGGGCGTGAAGAATTTAATTAGGATTTGACGATTGTCTAGATGAATTTGATAAATAATGCAACGTGTATTGCATATATTTATCAATGCATACGTGCCTACCCATTGCCAGTTATCACATAAAACGGTATGCCCATTGTGACGAGTTGGCTTACGTGTACTTCCAACGATAGTACCGTTCGTACTGTTTGCGTTCAGACTTTACAGATTCTCGTTTCGTAAGGATTTGTAGTCGCTAAACGATTTACTGACGAAACAATGCGTAACTAGTCGGGGAGATCGTTTCAAGAAACTTGTATATTCAAAAGAAAATTGTAAAGGTATGCCACAGATGTAGCTTAGCAAAGAAAAATGTCAGTCGTCCGTTAAAGCGTTGTAATTGCTACTCGAATAAAAAGATAATATATTTTAGCGAGGCTTTTTCTATTTTTTTATACCCTTAATGCCTCTTTCTCTCTCTCCTTTACGTTTATCAAGTAAGCTGCTAGAAAACGTGTTAGGTTTTAAAAAATTGCACAAATGTTTGTAGGTTGCAATATTATAGGACGACATAAGACTGTATTTTTTAAATAAGATATTTGTTATGAGGTATTTGTGTGCTCTTATACATTCAATTAAAATTTCCCATGTTCGAATTTACACTCAATCTTTTCTGATTCGTGATGTAAATGCATTTTCTATGACGCATTTTTTTGTCTTATATTTATTTACAAATTGTGGAGACAAATTATGTAAGTGATGTCAATTATGTAAGCGAATTTTATGTTAGAAGTTACACTTGTACAATCTCGGTATTTTATTTTCATTTTATATATATATATAATATACGTATTTTTATATTATATGTTGTGTGTATATCTATATACACACATACACATATACACACATACTTTTATAGTTTGAAATACAAGTCATCAATCATACGTCTAATCGGGATTTTCAGGATCTGCTACTGATTCACTAATGGTCGATGGGACAAGTTGGGAATAGCCGAGAATGAATTAGGTGAAACCCCTTGTGGCATACCAAGTCGTTTGGATACTCTGTCTCTTTCTCTTTTCCTTTTTTTCTCCTTTTCTCTTATCTTCTGTGATTTTGATGTTAGAAAAAACATTTCTTCTGTAATCTTTGTAGCTTTTAAAAAGAAATGATATCTTTGAATTGTCTTATACTTATTGTAAGCCGCATTAAGAAAAATAAAATCATGCTGACTAAAGTGTTTTTCTTTTCTCCACAAAAATTTGTCTTAGAAAAGAGAAATGGTACGCAGCAATTACATCGTCGATTTTATTTTGCAACTTTCATTTTGATGAGTACATCACGCTATTACTATCTCCTTTCTATTTTAATTTATAATGTATTTAAAATATCTTCAAATTGCGTGAAACGTATATATAATATATGTTATTTTTGACATTGTGTGTTTTTGCATTGCATTTTGGAATTTATATGTCGCATAATCACTCACGCGGTTTTGTCATAACAGGATATTATAATTAAATTCCATACGAGCCACGATAAATTCTTATTTATATACGTTATTATATACGCATATGTACAATTATCCACCTTTATAGTGTATTTATATATGTACATGCGTACGTATAACTATGAATACTTGTCGAGGAACGTCGACATTTTCCCGCATATTGGCTTTTACATATATAATTTAGATTTTTATCAATCTTAACATATCCATTGCCCGCGTATCGGATCTGCGACTCTATGATCAGTTTCTAAACCGTTATATGCGTAACACAAAAAGAACAGTTAAAAGAAGTAACTAATTGTCATTTTTACATAGTGACTGTTGCAGCGAAATCTTCACATCGAGACAGAGTCTATCTCAGGCACGTGGGCAGTGAATGTGTTAAGTTATTGTTTAAGTAAAGTGTACAACAAATGTACATTGAAAAATTTTCTCAATACGATATTATGCGAATGCTAAATTTTATTCTCTCTTTCTCAATACTTTCCTAGTTTAATATTACGGTTTTTTTACTATTAAAATTATAAATTTTACGTATATAACGAACGATTTAAATGTACGTATATACTAAATTGTGCAGTGAATATCAGGCTTATCTATATAAGCCTAATGACAAAAATAAAAAAATTGACACGCGTTATATTTTGAAGAAGCACAATTTAACATAGCTATGTACTTTCATGTTAATGTCCGTACATATACAGAGAGTTTGAAATACTTCAAGCATAGTGATAATTATTTACAAGTATGCATCAATTGATTACGTTTCTTTTAACACGTATACAAACAAATCACAGATAAATTGATGGCAATTGTAAATAATCGAATGTAGTGTTGAAAAATTTTTGCAGCAAAATATAAAGTAGTTTTTTTTTTAATCTAGAGACGATATGTTTAACACGAATGGAATATATCTAGTCTTACATAAAATACAGTCTTCCACCATATCGTCAATAAGAATCTGTTCTATAATATATTTAATTATATTCTGATAATGACAAGAATTATACGTTTTGCAAAATCAAATTTGCGCTACTACAAAATTGCGGGTTATAATACTACGCAATTTGCACATATTCTTTCTACGAAGAGCAATTCCTATAGTTTGCAGAAAATGTTCCTAATCAATAAATTTAATATCATAATATTAGCCTAATATTTCTAAAATACATTTTATTTAATATTAAACAACGCGTGAAGTATACATCATGTAAATTCACTCCTAAGTTTACATATTTACAAATATATATTTACAATAATTAAATGTAACGTGTATAGCAATATGAACATTACGCTTAAATGCTAATTTTTCTTAGAAAATTTACGAATTTATTATCTAATAAATGAAAGTACTTTTAAATATTTACGTTCATACATATATGTTAAACGATATTATTTTTGTTTCAAACAGGATAATTTTTGTTGATAAATTATGTTTAAACATCTATATTTTTATGACTCGGCATATTAGACGGCAAGAAATGTCGAAATTATGTAAATATCGAGATGTGACCATTTACGGGAAATATTGAATCAGAGATTTTTTTAAAGATATGTATCTTTAACAACGACTATAATATCTTACAATATAATTTAATGAAAATGAAAATTAAGTAATAATTTGAAATAAAAAAAAAACGAATAAGAATTTTAAATTTACAATGTTAATAAACATTTTGATAAAAGGGTAGAAGATAAAAACCACATAATATTAAATATCTACCTATTTTATTCGTTAAATGAGAGCGAAATTAATATGACTTTTGTTTTCCTTAGAATCATAATTTTGGAAATTTTTCCGAAAGAATTGATAATTAGTTACATTATGTATTTATTAAGCAACAGTAAATGTGATGAAGTGAATGTAGTGAAAAATATATCATAATAAATCTATAAATTATACATATTTCTTCGTTGCACGCATTATTATACAATTATAAGGTAACACACACACACACACACATTATTACTTAATATAATTATATTAAGTGTACATTATATATTACTTAATATAAATATATAATAATAATTGCATGCATTAATATATACAATTATTATTATATAATTATATAAAGTAATAAAACAATCCTTAACTCTAATACTCTTTCATTGTACGCTCATTTATGTTTATTTGTCGTCTTACATGTAACTCACGATTATAAGTTTGTAACGCATATATCATGCATCTCAGGATATACATATTTTCGACACGTACAATACGTATATAATAAATTTCTTCTACTTCAGATTCACTCAACTCTAATCCAATAGTACGGATAATTTTAAGTACGCGTTACCGGACGAATTGGCGTCTGGTTGTTGTCATTTTGCTGTCGGACCCTGACGAGGGGCGTCTGACGATAAATTGCTTGAAAATAATTTTCAAAATAATTTATCTAATTATCTACCTCGTTATGTTGAGAAATGCGTCGGCGCAGATCTAGTAATATATACATACAGTATACAATGGAATAAATCAAACGGTAACGGGATTCTTCGAGATCGGTTTTAAACTAACAGTTAATTCCATTGACAGTTCTACCTTCCGCTACAAGGAGACGTCGCTTTGAGAAAGCGGTCCATTGCCTATCCTCGCATTGCTGTTGAGTCGTTTCGTCGTTGTGCTATTTATTGATTCCATGTTACTCGCGGACACGATTACGTCCGGTGATTTTTTATTACTCGTCACGACGGTCACAAATTCCTTCTCGTTGGCAGTCGTTTGCGTTGATCGCGAAATGCACGTCGTCAGCGACTCCCCGTTTTTCCGTTCCTTCAATTCCATTTCGTAATCTGCGAACAAAAACGCGAGGGAGCTGTACATGATTTGTAGAACGTAATATGTAAATGAAGAAAATAAAGAACACGTTAAAATGATAATCAAATTATCTGGGAATTGAACAGAGAGCTCGGGGACCGTATTTACATTCGCTTTGAGTGGAGCAGTCCATGGTGGACGCGATATGTTTCTTGATGGCTTTATTCTGGTCGCAAGTAGCGGCTGTCAGAACCGTCGTCGCCGTCACCGGTCCCATCATACTCGAGGCATTTGTAACAGTTATCGCCGAACTTTTCGTCGGGTTGGGTCTTCCTGCCCTCACAGTCGGACGTACGTTTCTCTCGGGCCGGATTAAAATAATATACAGCTGCACATATAAATAATAACGCGTGAATTCCTTTGCGATAAATTATATAAGCTAAAATGCATTTTTTTAAAATCCGTTTTCTCATCTAACGTATATTTTATTGAGAACTATTAAGACGAGTGTAAATATTTAGCTTCTTAAAATTTCTAAATACACCGCGATTATATTAATCCAAATTCGATTTGATTTGCCATTACGTATGATCACTGGGCGCGCTTGAAATTTCAATAGAGTTGCAATAATTGAGCATTTAATCACACGTTTTAAACACAAACATTTTCAGATATTTCAAAGTGTCAGCTTTACCTTTGGACTGAAGAGGCAAACCACCGTTACGGATGCAGAAAGACTGATTGTTACAGACATCGAGGTAATTCTTAGTGCGACGTTGCTTCCGGTACCGTAATACAAAGGTACGAAAGCGAGCCATATGACGCATGTTGTATACATCGTTAAACCTGAATTAGAAATGTTATTTCTTAAGGACGCTATATATATTCTTTTGCGCGTCGTTATCATTATCATAGAATTGAGAGATACAGCATCTTTCATTTCACGTTAAATCTCCATCTTTTACATATTACAATTGCATACATATATAATCTTTATCCGAATATTACCCTTATTATTTCTTTTTTTCTCAGCAAGCTGTATTTGTCATGACAAGTGCTAGACACAGCATTGCAATGTATTAATATTGCATCTACATGGCGTATGTAAAAAAGAACACAATGCTGTTTTTATTTTTATTCTTTATCGAGGTTTCTTTTTTAATTGCGAAAGAACACGTAACACGTTGTATGAATATAACAAAATATGCACAACGTGGTGTAAGAACACGGATATCGCGATAAAAAGGTAAACTTACCGATGTGCTTGCTCTCGTTGAAAGCTTCTGGAATTTTTCTCGTGAGGACGGCGTAGATAGTACACACAATTATTAATATTATGGGATATGTAAACGCGATCATATAGCTGGTGTCGATGTAGTTGTTGCACACGAGTAGATTGTCCTCCATCGTGGGATAATGATGCATCGCTCTAGCAGGGTCGATGATCATCCAAACTATATTAATTAAGATCTGCACGGATACCAATCCGGAGCAGATAATAAGTTGCGACCGCGGTGATATGAAGGACGGCCTCTTTGCACTCCCGGCGTTGAAGATTCTTGAGATTCGATTGGTCTTCGTTAATAAAGCTGCGTATACTACCGTGAAGCAGAAGCCTGCGGCGAATCTGTCAGCAGAAATAAAAAGTGGTATCTCCGTTTTTCTCAACAAGCATTCTATTAAGAAATGCTTTCTCCGCATAATTCGTACTTCTAGTTCTGGTTCTAGCTCGATGCATGTAAAGATACAATTTCATTATGTTACTTTTCTCTAAACTTTTACCTCCGTTTCCGCCACGCGATATTGTTTAAGGGAAATTTTTTGCACTCTCACTGTACCGTGATAAATTGTATTAAAAAGAAAGTAGGAAAATAAGTTGGAATTAGATTCTGCTTGAACCATGTAAAACTAGTAAAACTGCCACTCTTACTTGGACAGCATTGATCGTACGCGAGAAATGTAATTTACCGACTTAACTGTAACAGTCTGGCAGGAACAAAGAGATTAATGCCGTCGCGTCAGAAACTCGTAGAAAATACACCCGAAAAGATTCATAGGGTTTTTTTTTTACCTTTGAATACCGCAGACAATGTGCGTGGGTTTGAATATCAGAGTGAATGTGACGAGGTAACAGAGTAGAATTCCCAAGAGAAGAACGTAAGACAGTTCTCGCCCAGACGCGCGTACGACAGGCGTGTCGTTGTGCTTGAGGAAAACGCCGCAGACAAATAATGTCACCTGTTTTTTTTTTTCACACAAAACATATGTGACCAAATCATGTAAAACGACAATACATAAAACACGTGATATGATTATTGCATTTTGAGATATAAGCGAAATATAAGTGATTCAAGAACTCTCTATTTCAGGAAAATAATCTTGGGAAGAATACGAGAGATACCTACCAAAATTCCCGTGGCAGAGAAAGACATCGCACCTATTGCCCAACCACTTTCCGGACGTAGGAACTCTTCCGGAACATCCTGGCACATCGAATGTGTTTCATCCGGCAGCGTACCTCGTTCACACTGACTGCACTGCGTCTCGTCGTTGGAATCCCGTATCTACTTGAGCAACAGAGTAAAATTCTTAAAATATAAAACAGTTGAATTAGATATTTCCTCATCTAGTGAGGTTCAGTTTGCGAATTCATATTATTTATATGTAATTTAAGTCCTTTCCTTTTTGCATCAGCAATTTTTTTACACCGCGATTATCTATGCGTTCTAATCTTTTTTTCGCTGAGATATGTGATTATTCTGTCGCGTTAAAATATTATGCGGTATTATTCGTAAAAGAATCTTATTACTTTTTCCCATATAACACAAAACGGTATAAAGAAGTTATGAAAAGATAGGAGTATATAAACGGACGAATCATTCAACACGCTATAAAAGAAATCACATAAATATCTTTTATCTCCATCTGACACGCATTCACGAGAACTTAGGCAAAAGCAATATGTGATACGTTTCGAAACCTATTATATCGCGAAATATTTGCTAAATAAATGCGTGTAAAACTAGACATTTTTTTCATTATTGCGACTCGAGGATATATTGTTCTTCTATTAAAAATAAAAGAGCGAGTCAAATATTAAATATAAGCAGGCGGTTAATTATGTCCTTAGCAACATCACGTCGTTAACGTACCTGATATTGAGTGCAATTAAAGCAATGCCAACAGCATCTCTCACCCTCGACATATTTCTTTGCTTGACCGACCTCGCAAGGCAAGGAACACACGCTCACGGGTGGTTGAGGATGTCCGAGCTTAAATTGGATTTCTAAAACAAATACATGTACGGCGATGATGTATAGAACAGAACGTACGGACAGTACCTAATAGAATATTATAGAATGGACACGTCCAAGCGCGATAGGACGTGTCTCATAATATGAAAATATACGAGCTTACCCGACATGTTTAGTCGCAGCTCGCCTTCCAGGTATTTGCCCACGCGAATCCACTTGTACTTGCCCGGTTCGGTTTGCTTGAAATGTATGATGTTGTATCGCGCTGGTCCGTCGCCGTCCTTGTCGAATCTAAACTTGTCTCCGCTTAGACCTTAAACGTAGTCGTTCGATCGCCTATGAGTACCATGAAAACTTGATCGAGACATATAAGTAGCTAATCACGGTAATATAGTCCAAGTATCTATCATCTCTTTTATTTAATTTCATTTTACGCGAGAGCATCGAGTAGAATAGTAGATACTAGATAGACACGTCGTATCGATTTACAATAAAAATTCCAATGACTAGAATCGCACTTTAAAACCTTTTCTAAAGGAAACGCTTTGTCAGCTTACCCTCGAAATCCACCTTGCGCAGGTATTGCAAAAGCGTTGTTCCTTTAGTCGGTTTCATTTCATCGCACAACCCTGCCTTTCCCTGGCAAAGGTCACGATGCATATCTCTGACAGAAAGAAGAATAGCATATTTTGTTCTCACAATTTTCTCAGTACATATACACACGCATATACGAAAATTTTTAAAAACTTGTCCAATCTGTTAAAGAGAAATTTCCAATTACCGAAAAGCGTAAGCGAATGCCATTACTGCATCGGAGACAAATTGTAGTTGGTCCTCGAAAGCCGTATTCTGCTTGGTGAGACGTTCTTTTGTCGTGCAAGTTTCCGTGTAATTTGTGTTATATCGTGTCCGAGGCGAGTTTGGATATCGGCATTTAAAATGGTCTTCCCAAAATTCTGGAATCAACATGAAAACTTGGTTTTCATTATTTCAAGTAACTCGATATGGATTGACTCGGAACAACTTAGCGAAAGGTTATATTTTATTAACGAGAGAAAAGTTGCAATTTTAAGGAAATATTGTACGTAATACTTTTTTATTTTAGTAAAAAAAATTACGCAATACGTAAAGATATATAAGTAACAAGAAAATACATCGTGAGCAGAATTACTGTGCTTCGATTATTTTGTCCGGCAGCCGATGATAGCGAACACGTTAAATAGGAAAATGTTAGATGACAGTCGACTTGTTAGCAAGCTGGCGTTTGTGATAAGTATTGTAAGTTAAAGTTTGTCGACATATATCGACGTATATTGAAGTAAACGAAGTAAACTTCTCACTAGCAACTGCAGCTGTATGTGCGAATGCATATCACGTGTACATTACGTTTGCTGTGCAAGCTAGAATTCACTAAGTTCTGCTCTTATCGTAGATCCAGCAACCTTTGGGCGGCCTCTTACCGACGAACCACGGGTTCCTCCGATTGTTCTCGACGGTCAAGTTGAGGAAGTACTCCTCGAAACCCTTAACGGGATTCGCCTGGGGTTGGACGGATAGAGTACCCTCGACTTCCGGCTCGTTACCGTTACTCACTAATCCCCTTGCGCTCCAGCCGTCGCTTCCGATCCAGGAAAAAACGCCGGTCGCTTTACAACGCCTGACCGCCCTCATGACCCCGGCGACTTCTTGGTCGGAGCCGAAGATAATGCAACCTGCGGCAGTACAAGTCGAGGAAATTTTCTCGTGGAAACATCGCCTGCGGCACATAAAGTCGCATGCGGCATAATGCTCTCTCATCTCGTGTCTCATCCTCATTATCGCGGTAAAGAAATCTTCACCGTTTGGTTTTATTTTATCGTACAACTTGTCGGCATCGCAAAAATTCTCCCGAAATGAGAGGGGTTTGAGCTTTTATTGAAAAAGTGCCAATGAAACGTCTCATGTCGCGACTGGTGATTCTCATGGGAATCAAGATTATACAGGCAGGAATCGATGAGAGCGTAAAAGGAAGCGTAAGGTCGACCTTTCACAATCGAAAACGGTTTGGTTATCAAAGGGTCTACACGAGGAAATTCTGCATAAAATAGATGTTTATCGCGAGGTACTTTTTCCTCTTCGAAGTATAGTAGATACGGAGTATAGTATATTTCAAACAATCAGATATCTTCCTTGCCGAGGTTATATATGCTTTACTCGAATAAAATTGGTATTTCAGATTCGAATTGATGTGAATCGAAGAAGTAAGGGTACTTACGTTTGGGAAAAAATCTTATAGATATACATTTATCTTCTCGCGACAATCGTATTTTAACAAAGGACAGAATTCTTGAGAATTATATATATATACATTTAATATATATTTATAAAAAATACTTCTAATAGATTACCTTAATTTTATTCATCAATCATAACAATAATAATTAAACGCGTAAAAATTTTGCATCTATCCTATTCGAAAATATAATTACTTCCGTTACGGTAATATACATTGTATGCTCAGTTTGTTGCTTGTGGGATGTTCTGGTTTCTATATATTTTCCTCTTTCTCTCTCTCTCTCTTTTTCTCTGTTTCACTGTATATATCTCTCTTGACCTAATAATAACTCGTACAGAGAAAGAAGTATTCTCGAACGGGATCGTATATTAACGAACCGTTTAATCTCTCAACGTTAGCTCTTTAAAAAAATATCTCTTTGAGAGAGAAAATGTGAATTATTTATAAAAAAATGTTGGTCGAAAGTTATTCAAGTACGAAAGATTCTAAAAATCGTCGTCTCGGGAGGGATCTCAAGGTTCAGGACCGTGTTGAATGGATTAAATGGATGAAATATTTATTCGTCTGAGGTAGCGAAGAAAGCATGCTTCGCTTGTCAGACGGAGTCGCTAAATTCTGTTTCCCTAAAACGAGATTACCGTTCCAACGTGGATAGAGAGCGTTGTGCCATTAATTATATTTCTTCTTTATGTACATATGCGGGTAGAGCGTAGGCGAAAAGAGTTATCTGACAACACCATAATTTTTATGCGCCTTACAGTCGTTTTCACTTTGCCCCATTTCTCATTTCGCTGCTGCGGAATGGATGCTCGCTCATTTCTTCATCATTCGTGTCTGTCATCTCGCATTTGATTTTTCTCGCGAAGCGTAACAGTTATATCGAAAAACTCATGTTTTATTAATGACACGTATAAATATAGTACGGTTTAAATTTTATTTATCTTATCTCTCTCATGTAACATAAGATAATATTTAAATAAGCTCATTATAAAATTGATATTCATCGTAATTTGATCGTAATTCTCTCTTCATATGTTATTTTACTTTTTATCGAAAATGTATAAATACTGATATCGTAATTGAAGGGTAGCTCGTTCCGTTGGTTAAAATGAATTGCAAATGCCAGTGTCACCTCCCTTTACTGGCTTTGAACACAAAATTATTTAAAATAATACAGTTATTAAAAGAGATGGTTTAATTTTAATATTTTTCCTGTGCATCGAAATATTTTTCAAATTATTTCCTTAATAGATTACTCGAAGATGTACTTGTACAAATATTCAGTTAAAACTGTAATCTAAACCGCGCTTGTTTTACTACTTGCAAAGAAAGCCAAGAATTTAATGCTCGCTCATCTTGCTTGGAAGAAGTGGAGGAGTTAGGTGAGTTCTGCAGATTTTCAACAAGTTTCGCATTGCATCTGACACAGTCTGGAATGAGTCGCGTTTCCATTTCGATAATGAATTTATTTCGTCACTCTGAAGCGGATCAAATAAAGTCGGAGTCTTTGTTGCATTCAGCATCGATACGATACTATTTCGTAACTGGTATCTTTCCCACGCTCGAGATTCGTTTGTATTTTAAGATAATTTACGTTGACTAGAAGAGCGGTGTGTTGCGAATGGACCATTGGGATGAGGGCGTGACAATAATTTAAATATAAATCCTTTTTAATGCCATTTAGCCCATCGAAAAGCTAATTATCGAAGAAACGTCAGCTAAGGTTTCACGGCTTATTCACAGGTTGGCATATATCGGATTTATAATTTAGGAGAGAAAAGAGTGAGAGAGAATAAGAGAGAATTTGTCATGTACCTTGGATTAACACTTTAAAACGCGTTCTAAATCAAAGATTGTGCATTATGACATATGTATATACAGACACACACGTACATGCGATGTGCTGATACATATGTATACAGTAAATATGTGCATTGTTCTATTGAGCAATTAATCATGAGAAAAAAAAGAGAACAATAAGAAAGAATAATTTTTGCATGTTTTCTACACTTTGCTTTGTAAATAAAACTTGTTTAGTTTATTAAATTTTGTTACATTTTTTACCTCTCGCTCGTGGTTTTGTCAGCAATTTTAAAACTATGTTGTCGTAGGCGACCTCCTTGGCGACTCCGGAGTCCTTCACCAACTTTTCTTTGACGGCGATACATATGTTATATCTGCCTAGTAGTTCCTCGAGTTCCTCGAAAGCCTGGAACGCAGAGAGATAGAAAGGGATGCATTTTCTCGAAGATGTTTTCAACAATGCATCGTGTCTAATGCGGGCCCGTTCGTAACCTTCATCGAGCTGCGTTACGTAGTGCTTTGAGGTCTTTTAGAAGAAAAATGGGCGTAACAAAGAATGAATAGAAGGGCGGGAAGGAAATGTACCTTAATGGAAAAATAGAGACTTAAATGGAACATCTATTAGAGATTCCTTCCTTTTAAGCTATGCAAAAAAATCATGATTTTTAAATAACAGAGATCGCTGTATTGAGATCTAAAATTTTAAAGACGTGAACATAAATCATTACAAATGTTGTTGCTGTTCCATGTTTGGAAAACAGCACGTTTGTGGTAAAAAGTTTTCAACGATCAAATCATTAGATATCTTATGAATAATATTTGTCGAATTTAAATTTTAAACATTAACATTCGATATTATTTTATTATATAAAAGTTCTGGTCACGATTTTCCTATATTGTCTGTAGAAATGTATGTCTTCTGATAAATGTACAATAGAACATCGGTTTATGATAGAGAAGTGATGAAATTTAGTTAAATTTGCATTTTTGAGATTGTTTCGCTCTATTAATCACGAAATAAATCACGCAATTGAAATTCCACAGTGAGATTCGATGGTTAGGTGGAAAAACTCTGTTACTTTGTTGAACAAATGGATATTTGTAATAAAAATCCCCATTTGTTCCACGCTTTCGGCTTTCGACCGCTCGTTGAAAAATGTTCCCTTCGTGCCATGAAATCATATATATGTATATATGTACATATGTATTTATATATATATATGTATATATGTTCTCGTATCGATTCGTTCCTCCTAGACCATCCCTCTCTGTGCACATTTTTCGTATGCGATCCGTATGTCGCGCCGAGATCGTTGATTTCCAATCCCATATAGCGAATGGTGTTATCGATTGGTCGCGTCATACAGAAGAACGTTATAGTTACATAGGAATATGATTTCCTTTTTCCCGTATTTTTATCCATTTCCCAAGATTCCACGCAATAAATAATAATTTTGCAATAATACATAGTGAAAATTTCTATGTTTTGCATTCACATTATAAAGTGATTTAATTCTATTACTGTGGAACAACAATTAAAGAATTGAGCTCAATTGTTAAAATCATGTTAGAGCATTTTTAATCTTCCTTGTCATTAATGCTTTTGTATAATCTTCCTTATATATAAAACAACAGTAATAAAATACAAATATTTGTTAGCAAGTATAACAAAAGATATATGTGCTTGGTATCGAATCCAGTGTGCATGATTTACTTTCCAGTCAATGCGGATCATTGTGTTCCATGAGTCGCGATAAATTAGCAGTTAAATTACCTGGCTGGAGGGTGGTTTCAAATTCCTACGTACATATATATTCAGAGTGCGGTCCTTCCTTTATTATTATAGGACGCTGTTATGGACGCTATAATGGTCCTTGTTTCGACTCTTGCGCGAGAATTGAATTTGGTTAATTTGATACATATATAAAATGCCAAACTCAGGTAATATCAGAAAGCTGGTTATTAGAGATATGAACCGAAAAACATCCGAATAGTTATTGCAAAAATTTTATCAAATTTATTCATATACAATGAATTACACTGTTCAACAAAATAAATACACAAGAAATAAAATAATCGTTTCTTGTAGTTTTTTGGACGCTGAATAAGATTCCGTTTACCAAATCGCTTTATCAGGTCACAATTTTGAGAAATTTGCAGTTAAAGTTGCTTAAAAAAGGCTATTTTAGTGTATTTTGGCATATTATAAATAGAATGTGTTGGACAAATTTTTTTACAATCAAAATTAAGTATGTTGTTAGAACTCTTCAGCTCTTAAAAAGAATTATATTTGTACGACAATTTGTTGTGTTAATTATAGTTAAAAAGATATTGATGATTAACACAGTCTATATTGTGTCAAAGTTGCGACTTATTATTCAAGTTTCTAAGAATTTTTTCAGGTACCTAATTAATACAACAAAATCCTTTTAAGGCTGAAAGTCCTAACAACATGCTTAATTTTGACTGCAATAAAGCTTCTCTAACACGTCATTTTGGTGGTTATAATATACCAAAATACTAAAATATTCCTCTTTTGCAGCTTTAACTGCAAATTTTTCGAAATTGTGACATGACAGCAATTTAGTAAACGGGATCGTATTCGGCGTCCAAAAAACTATCGGAAAACGATTATTATCGTTCTTGTGTTGAAAGAAAAGTATTTTTTTGTTAAACAGTGTTATATATATCCTAGATAGCAAGATGACGTCTAAAGACGTCTTAATGACGTTAGAGACGTCATTAAGATGGAATTAATACGTCATTTGACGTCACTCTGCTACCTGGGATATTACTCATCATGATATTACGAGTTGAAGATGATATTTCGTACTGTACAAGGAGATTTCAAATTATTGTATAAGCGAGCAGCTTCTCTGCGAATCGCTCACATATTTACTTCGAATTCTATATTCAACGACGAGGCAAGTCATCTTAGACTCACTTGTCGTTATTAATTTATTCCGCTATTGAATAGACGATGAATAAGACAATGAGAATTATTGTTCTGCTCATTGGCTCGCTTAAAGTAAGCGGAGATATGATCTTGTACTATATATATATATATATATATATATAAGCAATGTATTTGAAAGACGTGACATGGAATAAATTAGAACACTATCGCATATACAGAATTACTCGGAAATCTCTCAGTTTCACCTACAATTAATCACTTAACCAGAATATAAACCTAGTTTTGACTCTGCCACACTTACTTATTGAATTTTGTATCAGGATTATCCGGCCTTTAAAACAATACAAATATAAGTAGGAAGAAACAATGCGATAAGTAAGAAGTATGGTTGATTAAGAAAAAATATGGAAGAATTTATATCTCGAATCATATATTATATATATCATATATTATATGAAAGAAGTTCTACAGTTTTCCACAGACGAAAAGAAAGAATCATGGAAAGGTAAGTGTGATATCTCAAGGGGATAGGAGAGGAAAGTTTAGGGAGAAGCTATATGGGTTTTTCTTAAGGAAAACTCTTAAATATTTATTAAGCTAAAGATCTTTTCTTATTTGGGGCTTCCCGGTATCTTTATTTTCCATATACATTTACGGTTATCGTGTTTCGCGGATTTTGTATATGTCGTCATGTACTTTCTCACCTTTCGCAAAGTATTGTGAATAGCGTGAAAATGAGCGAGAAAATTGAAAAATTATATTTCCATGATTGCCACAGGCAGAAAAAAGCAGTAATCATTTTTGTCATCACTTAAAAGCAATATCTAAAATCCATGCAAATATTTCCAAGCAAATATTTCGCAAATTCGTTCCATCTGAATGTTTTAGGTGTCAAATATCGAGATTTATTATCTTTCTTTCGATTTGTTTAAGATTCCGAATGTGGAATTTTATTGCTCGTACGTGGACGTGTTTTCGGAACAATTTACAATTATTTTAATCGGCAACAATCGTGGAATCGTCTTTGGTTTTTTAGAATATCCTGCACGAAGCCGCATTCTTCGCATCCTCGAGTAACTTTCGTCTAATCCTCTAATCTCTTAGTCCCCGGCATGCCGATAACGTGGACATACAAGATCGATCGTTATGTAGTTCGCGTATTTTGCGAGGAATCTAATTATGGTGTGAACATAATGCCCCGTTTTTCCCTGGTCTCTCGTTCGAAGAGCAGAATATTGTGGTGTAAATTCTATCAAGCGCACGCGACTTGACACGTACGGGGCAACGTATATGATAGGCGGTAATGAAATTCTGATCGGCCGGGCAATAGGGGCGACCTTTTCTTTTGATCGTGTCGCCAGTCATTGCGGCCTTACGAGAGGTAATAGATCGAAATGCCATTTCTCTGTACCATCAAAATGTGGCTGCGTGTTAACTACGTCGCTCATACGTGTCGCGTACGTATGTTCGCGAAATATTAATTTAATGTGGGCACATCCATCATCGGGTTTTGTTCGCAAATACGACGATTGTGAGATTAATGCCACGATCACGCAAATTTGACGCCCCAAATTGCCGGCTATACAATCCCGGATATGATTGAGTTTTTGAGTGTTAAATTTCTCGTTATTTTAAAACGGAATCGGTTTTTAACGTTGTAATTTATGCCCTCAACTAATATATTAATTAAAATAATCGATATTACCTGAATGAATGGAAATTGAGAAAATATTACGGATAACTAGGTGCGAAAGATTTATTGTTTAAATTCGCGTTACGTATCTGTGCATCGACTGTGTTATTACGAATATGTGCATCATATGCGCATATTCGTATATGCGCTTATACATAGCAGAATCAATTTTCTGCTCATAAATATCAATGTTTCGTATCACATTATTAGATCCGTCGCTTGCATTTTTTACGTAATACGTAATTCTAGCAAAATCACATGCTTGCGTAGATAACTTTGCCGTTATACGTATTACAAATATTTATATCAATAACTTATATCAATAACTATATCAATGACATAGCATATTAATTATAATTGCTTGCATATTTATTATCTTTACTCCTTCAATAAATCTCTAAAAATTTGAGAAATAAAGTTTCTCTAATCATTCTATGTGTAATTTTTTTTCAAATTTTTATATCTAAATTTATATTATATAATTTTTTATAGAGAGATAAAGTTGCGTGATTTTAATAGATGTAAAGAAATTAAATCGCCATACTTTTTATATAACAATTTAATTTCACATTTCCGCGACTTATTGAAAACGTATAAGAAAAAAATTGCAATTTATTAAAGATTTATAATTTCATTTTTTCGATACGTCAAAATTGATGAAAATTCAAAGGTAGTTGATTAACATAAATACATTATTAATCGGTAAGGATAAATTTTATTCATAAAACAGACGCTAAATTTTAATATAGCTCGTGATAATAGCTCGTTTATCAACATAATTTAAAATGTAAGAAAC